ATGTCAAGTGAGGGACTTTTTTTTTTTTAAATCCAATGTCTATCACAACTTGTTCTGCACTTTACAGTCTTAGAGAGTTGGCTTGAGAACTCAGAAAGTAAATGATCTGCCCAGGATCACTCAACCAGTGTGTCACAGACAAGATCTGACCTGAGGTTTTCCAGATTCTAAGACCAGTTCTCTAACTGTTATGCGACCTTGCCTTTCATTTTGAACATAAATATATTACAAAAATAGACAAGGTTATCATATGTGGTCCTCAAACCTAAATCCAGTAGAAAGGAATGAACTCACAACACCGACAGGAAAGTCCTCAAACCAAGAGTACACTGCAATTGTTAGTACCAACACAAGTATATATTCTGTCTCCTTGGCTGCTGGCTGCCATTAATCTCTCTTAACTGCCACTGTTTATATAACCTCTGTTGCTGATGCCCAAGCTTGAACCCTTCATGCTCCTTGGAAACCTGGGCAGCTCTTGTCTTATCTACTATTGTCATTCTTCTGCGTTCCCTATCTTCTTTTTTTTTTTTCAAACCTCTATTTTCTCCTAATCGTTACCAGTGATCTATGAACTCTTCCATGCACCTTCACACAAACAGTTCTTACAATCAATCTTTACTTAATCTTTACTTTCTTACAAAACCCAAGAGGCAAGGGGAAAGAAGAGAAGAAGTTCCTACATATCTCTGTGACATTTTCCCCCCTAAAGTTGTTGATGACTTCTTGTTTTTGTTTTTCAAAGACTAGGTTTCTCTATCTCTGCCCAGCTAAAAGTACAGCAGCCACTCACAGGCCTAATGCCAATACAGATCAGCACAACAGTTTTTACCAGCTCTGGTTTGCCCCTCCTTAGGCAACCTGGTGGCCCTTCTCTCTTCAGGGAGCATCCTATTGGCACCAGACTTAGCATGGGCACCTATCAGTTTCAGTTCCGCTGTAAGTTAGAGCTCAAGAAATCAAGCAGCCTCAGCCTCCCGCACAGCAGAGATTATACAGGCTTGTGCCAACACACCTAGCTCCTCTTGAATTTTATTGATCTCTTTGTTTTTAAATCAGAGTAGTTTCCTGAAATGCCCCCCTACTTGTCAACAAACACCACCACCCTATTTACCTTTCCTTGTAAGAAAGAAAAAGAGTTAATTATTAAAAGCAGCAGGTACAGAGATGGTGCTGGATAAATATGCAACATTTTGTACCTGTGATCAATCACCTCTATTGAAAGGAAGTAAATGTGTTTTATCACCTGTTCTCAAGGACTAAGATTGATTAATACTACTAATCATTTCAGATGCCTGTTACTATTGTTTCCATATATTCATAAAAATATATTTTATACACTCCCCCCCCCCCATGCAAGTGGTTGTGAGCAAGCCAGGGAAATTAATTATCAAAGCATGCAAAGGACAGTTCCCTTTCCCCCTACAAATCACGGTTTGCCTTCAGAGGGAGGTATGCTGCAGAGGGAATGAGCAGTTTGAAGCAGATGCTGAATCATGCAAGCAGAGCCATCATCCCACAAACACATCATTCCCTGTGTTCCTCCTGGAGCTACCCTTGTTCTCCCAGCTGTTGCTCATGATCAAGTTCCAAGGAAAGAAAGACAACCCATTAGTACAAAAGCAATGGCAGTTCTTATACCAGTCACATCTCCAACCTTGAACTTTTAGTAAGTAAATGTCTTACTTGGTTACAAAGAATGTACAAAGATTTCTTAACTCTTGCTGGGCAAGTTCAAGAGTGTCCAGTAAGTGATTCAAAACAGCTGATGGAGTTGTTACTGTGGCATCCTGCCTGTTGATAGGTAGCATACAGCTTCAGAACTACCCTCAGAACACAGGCTAAGATGGGATGCAACATGACCTTGCATTCAACTCTGTGGCATGTCTGTCCAAGGGAATCCCTTCTAGAGAGAACCATCAGTAAATGAAAGGGAGTTTGGTCTGGCTACACAAGAGTTATGGAATAGGGACATGTCAGGGCAATCCTGTTTTACACAGGAGGAAAATGAGACCTAGAGATCATAAGTCACTTCCCCAAAGTGAGTCAACTATTCAGTAGCTGAAAGAAAGACTCTAAATGAAGGAGGAATGAAATGAAAAAATCTTGCAACACAACACTTCGTAGTCTCTTTACTGAACTAAAAATTCCCCGGACTGAGGTCATCTTTGTCAACTTGCTATGTCATGAAAATATCTTTTCATAACTTTAACTTAAAATCCAAGAAAGCAACACTACCTCAAATGCTGCCAACACTGGGCTGGACACACAGACTGAAACAAAATCCAAACACCTACATACAAGATGACAGGAAATATTTTGATTCTTCTCCAAAAGTCCATAAACAGTGTCTTTGTTTAGTTCTTTTAAATGTATTTAGAGCAGAAATGAGTCAGGGTTTTTTCTTATTCTGTGCTCTTACTTGCATTATGTGACATCAGGAGAAAAAATAACACATGCTTCTAAGAAATAAAAAAAGGTTAAGTGATTTATGCCTCAATACAAAAAGCCTCTAAAAGCAAATGAATAGAATTGTAAACTGAAATTTCAGTAATATTATCTTTGAAAGGGGTAGAACAATGTTATAACACAAAAGTAGAGACACAAGAATAACACTTTTTAGAGAGTCCTCATTATGGTGATAGAGGTGCACTATACAACATTAATTATATGGAAGACATGACATAACCAACATGATAATAATAGGATCACTGATTTAAAGATGGAAGGGACTTTTAGAAATCAACTAGTTCACCCATCTCATTTTTAAAATGAGGAAACAGTAGTTCAAAGAGGTTAAAGGACTTATCCAAAGAGATACAGGAAGTCAATCAGTGAACAAACATTTATTAAGCATGTACTATGTTCCAGGCACTATGCTATATGCTAAAGATAACTAAAGAAGAGTCAAAACAACAGTTCCTGCTCCCAAGCTCACAGGGTAGGTAAACTGAAAACAACTCTACAAATTAGATGTATACAAGATAAATTGGAGCTAATTTCAGAGAGAAGACACATGGAGAAATGATAGGACTTGAACACTCACTGGATTTATAGGGATAAGAGAAACTAAGCAGTTAAAGATGACACCGAGGTTATGAGTCAAATGACTGGGAGGATGGAGGTACCTTCAATAATAATAGGGAAGAGGGGAGGACTTGGAGGAAAAGATGAGTTCAGTTTTGGAAATGTTGAGTTTAAGATGTCAACAGGGAATCCAGTTCAAGATGTCTAAAGGGCAACTGGAAACATAAGAATAGAGGACAGGAGAGAGGTTAGAACTGGACAAGTAGATCTGAGAGTCATCTGCACAGGGATAATAAGTGAATCCAAGACAGCTCATGACATCCAGTAAGTGGAAGAGGCAGGATTCAAAGCCAGGTCTTCTGATACCAAATCAAGCACTGTTTCTACTGATTTTTAACTATTCCATAGTAGAGTTTTCGTGTATTAAATGACATCGTATTCAACTTCTTAAAATAAAACATCTTCCATCAAATTAACTGTGGTAAACTATGACTAAGATGTCTTAAGTTTGTTATCCATTGTAGACACTTTTCTGAGACATAATCTGCCATTGTTTTCTAACATAAGGCTCCTACTATTTAAGTTTATCATTCCTCCTACAAATAATCTTAGTTAAGACTCATAACATGCCACTTCTACTGAACAAAATAATCACCATATCTAGTATCCACAGTCTCCTAAAACTCATAAGCCAGAAAACATTATGGTCTTTCAACCCTAAAATGGTGACCACAAGTATAATGCTTGGTCCTCAGCTCTGCAGATTCAGGAATTTGATTCTGCCAATTCATGCTATAGATCCAACATGCTATTTAATAGCTTATGGCTTCCTGTTTCCACCATTAACTAAACGCTAGATTTTATGTTGCCTTCTTATCTGTAGGTTCACCACTCAAATCTCTTCCTTCCCTCCCTACCCTTTTCTATAGGTAAAAGAAAATATAATTTGCATATCAAATTTCTTTATAACTCTTCCCCTCACTTTGTACCTTTTCGTATTCTTGCTAACAGACTCACCACCATGGCGAAAAACATGTACTTCATATAATCAAAAAGGCTTTTAAAACTAGTCTACTTTTAAAATTAGTCTACTGACAATTTTAATCCATAAATGGCAAATTGATGGCTTAAATTTTAATCAAGATTGAACACTTGATTTCTTTCTAAAGCGTACTAAGTGAGAAAATCATTTAAATGATTTTCATAGCATTCTCTGAGCACCCAAGCTTGGAAAAAGTTAATATCAACGTTTTTTTTTGAAATAACAATATGTGACTATCACCACTGATCTGAAAAACCATTGCTCCCAGGACGTACAAAGAAGAAAACTAAATACAAAATTATGGTGTGCTCTATACACTACCTAATTTAGGATCTAGGATCACAAGATTTAGAGTGGGAAGAGACACCAAAGATCATACAGTTTATGAGTCCTTAATTTTTGTGTCATGGACTCCACCTTTGGCAGTCTAGTCAAGCCTATGGACCCATTCTCAGAATAATGTTTTTTAATGCATAAAATAAAATACATGGGATTACAAAGGAAACTAATTATATTGAAATACAGTCACCAAAATATTTAAAATACAAAAATACAAATCCCAAGAATAGAACTCAGCATCTTGACCTATGCCTTCATTTTCAAGATGAAAAAATTGAAACATAACAAGTTTACGTGATCTAGATAATAACTTCTCAAGGAAACTATTTGTTCTTCAGTAATTTCAGTCAGGTCCGACTCTTCATGACCCCACTGGGATTTTCTTGACAAAGATACTGGAGTGATTTGCCATTTCCTTCTCCAGCTCATTTTACAGATGAGGAAACTGAGGCAAACAGTGTTAGGTAACTTGCCCAGGATCACACAGTTAATAACTTGGAGGCCAGATTTGAATTCAGGGAGATGAGACAGCCTGTGTTATGACTGTATCCTACTACAATAAATAAATCAATTGAAAAGTAAATTATTTTACCTTTAAATAGTAAACCAGGAGTTCATTGAGGGCAGGATCAGCATTCAAATTGACAAGAAAACATTTATTATCCCCAACTTTGATTCCTGAAGACTGAAGAGATATTCCAAGACTCTCCAGCTGTTTCTGTCGTTCCTGTAAGGATATTCAAGTTGTAAGGTATTGAGGATATATAAAATTTAGAAGACATCGCTGAACAGAACATACGAATAATTTACATATAAATTTATATTTTTAAAGCACATTATAAACACTAACCCACATACTACATTAGGCTCTCTGGCTGTTGCCATATAATAACCAGCACTTGTTCCCACTACTCTGACTTATTGTGTTAATGAATGAGTATCCTCATATGTGCATTTCCTAATATATAAAATTATATGTGCGTATATGAGGGAATCTGTATACCACAGTATATGTGTTAGGTGCGTACATTTTTCCAGATGAGATTATTTCCACGTATGTGTAAGTGTGAGAGAAGGAATATAAATGCATATTCTGTGTCACAAGTCCATTCCTGGGAATACTAATACCTTCAGTACTTGTCTCATGGGGTTATTGAGGAACACAAGTAAGATAATATATGTAAAGTCAGTTGTCATCATTAACGAAAGTAGTTATGTGGAATAAGGATAGGGTTGGATCTTAGGGAGTGGTGAAGTGCAAAGGGTAGGCTTCTACTATCAGTGCTGCTCTCCACAACACATCAATAGGCCTCCAATTGCCAACCTGCACCTTTGGTTGTATTCGAGCATAAACTGCCATTAAAATAATTATTACCCAAAAGCTCCAACGGTGCAGTGTTGCTGTTCAATTATTTTTTCAGTCATGTCTGACTATCCGTGACCCCGTTTGGGGTGTTCTTGGCAAAGATACTGGAGTGGTTTGTCATTTCTTTCTCCAGCTCATTTTACAGATGAGGAAACATAGGCAAACAGGGTTAAGTGACTTGCTCAGGGTCACACAGCTAGCAAATGTCTGAGGCCAGATTTGAACTCAGAAAGATGAGGCTTCCTGATTCCAAGCCTGGTACCCTATCCACTGCGCCACCTAGCTGCCCCAATGGGGCAGGTGCCCGCTGCCAAAAGTCCAAATAAGTGAATAAGAAAAGAAATTATCTCAAAAATTATTCGTGGCAAACTCATATTAGAGAATAAAGCTCAGGATGCTTACTTCTAAGGTCCTCTTGAAAGTCATTCTAAATTCAATACCTTGCAGACTGTGGAAAAGCTGTCCATACACTTGGTTTACAATTTCCACGAGTTGATACATGGATTTGGCCAATCCTAAAGGATTGGAGTAATTGTTTTGGTCTTTGCATGCCTAGCGTAGTGCCTTGGCTAAGAAAAAGCCCTTAATAAACCCTAACCCTTCCCCCACCCTCTGAGAATCTTGTTTCATCACTGAAAAAACTAAGACCTTTCACTAAGAGTGGCCTATTTCCATTTCTTCATCTCACCTCACTCATTTCACCACCATCTCATTCTTCACCTTGTCTCACATGAGGAGGTGACCCTTCTCCTTGCCAAGGAAAACCCCTCTTACATACAGTCTTCACTAGCCCATTGTTCTCTCTAGTATCTTCACTCTTTTTCATGGTTAAACTCCTTGAGAAAGACTTTTTCAGTGAATTTCTCCACTTCCCTCATTCTCTTCCGCAGTCTGGCTTCCAACTTCATCATTCAACTGCAACTGCTCACTCCAAAGTTAACTGTAAAATCAAATCGTTCTTCTTCATCCTTCTTGACCTCTCTGCAGGCTTTAATGGCTTTATCATTATCACTATCGAGGGCACCTCCTCCGAGGTGCTTTGTCTTCCTTCAAGACTCAGCTCAAATCCTACTTTCTGCAAGGGGCCTTTTCAGTTTCTTCTCACTGCCAGGGCTTTCCCTCTGAGACTGCCTCTAATTTACTCTGTCTATACCTTGTATGTACATAGTTATTTGCAAGCTTTTTGTTTCTCTCATTGGTATGTGAGCTCCTTGAGGATGGTGACTCTTTTGCCTTTCTTTGTACCTCCAGTACTTAGTACAGTACTTGGCACACAGTTAGGATGGATAAATACTTGGTGACTAATTACTAATTGATTTATATGCCTGTGTAAGTCACTTAAAACTTATGTGTGCCCTCAGCAACTCCCTATGGCTTTCCTACTATGTCATAGGTTATCGAAGGTTGCTAAACTCTGACATCTAAATAGATATTGACAATTAGATGGCCACTGAAATGTAGGAAGAGTTAACAGTACAGTGGAATCAATGAAACCTGAACTACTAAGAAGAAAAATTTAAAGCATCCTAATCTGGAGTTTTCATTAATGTGAAACAGAAAGCCTGATCAGTTATTCATTCTCTGATATGAAACAGTGCACTCCTCATCCCTCTCTAGACAAGGACAAGAGTGAAAGACCCTAATTGATTCACCTTAGCCAGATTAGGTTAATGATCCAAATAAGAGAAGGAAGAAGTCTCTTTTTGTCTTTTAAGTTGCAGATGGGGTAGCTAGGTGGCGCAGTGGATAAGGCATTGGCCTGGAGTCAGGAGGCCATGAGTTCAAAAGTGAACTCAGTCACTTACTAGCTGTGTTATCCTGGCAAAGACACTTAACCACAATTGCCTCTCCCAAAAATGCTTGCAGGATTGATTGGCATACAAGTCATATCAATAACATTCTTCAATGCTAAAAATGAATTACTATAGCAAGTGTGTTGTGTGAATTTTCTCTTGATACTTCTCATTTGAAAAGTAAAAAAAAAAAAGATACATAAGAAAGAATGAGACATTTACAAGCTGTCTCTCTCCCTCACACAAATACACTTATAAAATACTTCCAGATTGCCTTTTCAAGAAACTCTGACACTAGTCAGACCAACTCAAAAGAAATACCTAGTTATCACTGAGAAAAACACAATACACAAAAAAAGGAAAAAAATAGGAAATGCTAAATATGCATTAATAGCAACTGTTGACATCAATTTAGTGCCTTATGATTTTTAAATTATAAACATTAAGCATCAGATAGTCATATTTCAAAAATTCAAAAGTAAATCTCACATGATAAAATAAAAGTACCTCTTAAAGTATTTCTAAGAAGTTTAAAAAAAACATCAGAAGTATCCTTTTCTTATAGTCCTTTATCATGACTCCCCTTATCATGACCATTAACATAAAACAAAGATTTAAAAGGAATCTGGTTAATATTCTCAATAGTATGTACAAAATCAAGGACATGCCTACAAAAATTATGTCATTTACTAAAAGTGTAAGAAAAAGCATATGAACAAAACTGCTACACACTTCCTTTGGGATTCAGTCCAAACTGGTATGTCAGGTTTGCCATCACTTAGCTCTGATCTAACATTCCACCATTATGTCCCTCTGAACCCTCTGCTCCTGCAAGGCTAGTTTAATTACTGTTTTCTGCACATGACTTTATTCATTCCCTCCCCACTTCCCTCTACCTACCCAAATCCTATTTATCCTTCAAGATTCAGGTCAAGTCTTACCTTCTCTATAAACTCGGCCTTCACAGCCACTGATCACTCTATCCTTTGAAATCCTACGACACTTACTATCCATCCCACACACAACTGACAATAACTTTTCACATTTTCTTAGCTCAGTGAGATTGTAAAGTCATCAAAGACAGACATGGCTTATTACATATTGTATGTCAGAGGTATCACACTTGTGGCCCAAACCAGATTAAAATGTAATTGGAAATGTTTAACAAAAATAAATAAAAATACAAGGCAGGATAGATAATATTAATTTGTGGTTTTCTAAGTCAATATGCCACCAGATCATTTGAGTTTGACATTTGGCTTGGATAGCACCCAGCACATAACGAGGATTCAATTAATATATTCCAAAAAATAACCAAAGTTGATTAAATTTCAAGAATAGAGTACTATTCACCAAATAGCCTTCTGTTTCAATCATCCTCAGTTCTCATTAAGAAATATGCACCTACGTGAAACTAAAAGCCATAGGACAGATTACTGTGCTTTACACAAAGAAAATATTTCATACTGTCAGTAAATATGTGATAAAATCTTATTAACAGTGCAATATTTTTTTACTGAAAAGCAATTTATCCCTTTAGGAAATTCAATCATTTGTTGGTTTCTATTTAATATTAATTTAAAATCATTTGGTAGGAGATGGAACAACAATATAACTCATCCACCATTATTCCCTACTTGTTTTAATGGAAACCAGATTTACATTGTCCTTAGACACTTTACTATGCTCACATATCAGCATACTGCATGAAAAGACAGTGTGGTAGAGGGGTGGAAATAAAGAAGGAACTCAGAGAACTATCCTCTGGAATACTACAGTGCTTTGACACAGATTTGCTCAATAAATTCAGTCAAATCAATATTCAACAACATTCTTCCATTCATTCCACAAATATTTATGGGGGGACCATTATGTGTAATATATCCCACTGTGGGTGATAAGAAAATAAAAGTAAGAGAAAACTAAAATTCAGTTCTTACTCATGAAGCTTATAGTCCAATGAGATATACACAGGAATGATTATAAAGTAGAATGTGATAAGTTCTATAAAATGAGACAAACTAATTGTTTCCTTGGGCACAGTGGAAAATGTATGTATAGCCCGAGTAGATAAGACAGATATTTCAATAAAGGGAGGGAAGTGCAGAGAACGTTAATAAGCAGCCCTGTGTGGCTCAGGAGCAGATAGGATGCAGCAAAGGTTCCTGATTAGGTGTGACATGCCCCTATGATCAGGCACACTTGAACCTACTTAGAGCAGAAGGAGAAACTGAAGACAAATGTTACCCACTTAACAATTTTTCTTGAGCCTATGCTGCTCATTTTGGCACATTCGTAATGATGCCACCAAAATTAGCTAATGTTATGAATGCATTTTTAAAAGGCTTATGCAGATCTGCAGAAATGATAACCTTATTATAGGAGCTGGCAGGCAATAAAGATGATAGCCTAAGCTGTACCATTAAACATTTTGTAGCCTGGGAAACTCTTATTTCAGTTCCTTAAAAACCCGCCTAGGAAAATGATAAAAAATGCTCACCAGCAGGCAGCATATTTCACTGAAATTTAAGGGATGAGAACCAGAAGCTATAAATTAATCAGTCTGAAAACTTGTAAGTTCCCCTCCAGTGCAATTACTCTGATGAGACACTGGAAAAATACGTCTCTTGCACTGTGAACAGTACTGCCATTTTGCCTCAGGCTTCTTCTGGGAAACCAATTTTGGGGGGGGGGGGGAAACAAACACCACCAATAACAACCAGAGCCCTTACTTAGCGTCTGAACGTTCATCATTGGCACAGAGCTGGTCACACATAAAATCAAAAGAAAAAGGAAGGACCACAGTAAAATAAAAAACTACATTTCAATGTAATCAGAAACAATCATGAAGAGTGGTGGAGTATTTTGAATGAGTTTTGAAGAATATTTTAATGGTAATAGGTTCCATTTCCCCTTAAATGAAGAAATACTAACCTGTGCAATCTCCTCCGTTTTTCTTAATTTCTCTTCCCAGGTTACAGTCATTTCTTGAATCAATTTCTCTGATTCTTCTAGCCGATCCTTTAGCTCTGGTGATTTCATGGCCTACAAAGAGAAAATATTTTAACCTTAAAATGTGAGATGCCTTGAAAAAAGGAGATGCTAAACTTAATGGGACAAAAGTAACAATCTGCCTCATCTCAGCTCAACAGTACAGTGAGGTCTTTGACCTAGGCAAAAACACACAATGGACTGTCACTGATACACAGAATCTCTATTGTACTGTCTGGGCCACGAATCCAAGACAAATTAGCTAAGGCATAAAAAGTCGTGCCATAGGGAAAAGTGTAGTGGATTTCGAAACAGTTAACCCCAAGGTTTAAATCCAGGCTTTGCTTCTTTTTAACTGTGTGGCCTTGGGAAAATCACATAAACTCTCTGAACCTCAATTTGCTCATTTTTAAGAGTGAGTTTGTGAAACGATGGGGTTAAAGCACTGTAAAGACAAAACAACTTTGAAAGACTCATCAATGCAATGACCAACCACAATTCCAAAGAACTAGTAGTAAACTATTTTACCCACCTCCTGACAGACAGGTGATGGATTCAAGACGTAGATAAAGACATGTTTTTTGGGGAGATGGAAAATGTGGGACTTTGTTAACTATGTATACTTGTTATATATGTCTATGTCTATGTAAAATGTTATATATGTAGAAATATCTATATGTAAAATTATACATATATAAATATACATAACTACATATACAAGGATTTTACATTTCTTTTTTTTAATGAGAGGGGAAGAAAATTAATGCATGTTACTTTAAAAATGAAGTAAAAATTTTTTAAAAAGATGATGGGGTTAGACTAGAGCTCTAAGGTCTTTTCCAAATTCATATTCTATTATCTATATGAGCAATAATTAATTAGATCTGGCAGTTTTTTTTTTCTGACCACTTTGTAAACAGATAATCACTTTTAAAGAGCCACTTGGTAAAATATGGAATAATGGGCTCCATTAATCCAAGTGAGCAAAAATTTTAGTGTATTAATTGTTTTATTCCAGAAGGCTGTTCATTTAGAATCACAGTGATAACTTACTATAGTATCATTAATAACAACAATATTGCTTTATGGTTTACAACAAACTTTGCATCATTTTCTCATTTGATCCTCAAAACAACCCTGGGAGATAAGTATTATTCTCTCTATCTTATGGGTTAGAAATTCAGAGATGGCTCAAAGCTTGCTTACACAATTAGCAGTGTGTGTGTCCACTACCAGCTCTACCCTCATCTATCACAACCACCAATAACCCCATGCCTTCTAAGCTACAGGCCTCCCTGAGGAGGCAGGGGATTCCCCCCAGGGAGATAAGGGACCCCCACCTGAGGACACTCCCCAGGACTAAATCTTTCTCTTTTCCTGGACCTTGCTCAGGAGACAGAGAGAGATCTCAGCCCCCACCCCACCACTCCACACACCAAAGCTGCCTCTGGGGGTCCAGGCTCACTGGATGGCCTTCAAAGCCAGCGGTGCTCTTACCCTAGGCCTGTACAGGTCCCCATCACTCTGGGTTGGTAGTGGCCAGGTCAAATCCCACGTCATGGGACCAAGGTCTGTGTGTGTGGTGGGGGGAAAAGAAGGTAGCAGATTGGGTCCTCAGCCTGATCAGGATGGGCCTCTACAATGGGGCCTGGACCTTCAACCCCAAACCCACTTCCTGCCACTATCTCAGGTTTTCCAACCACACCAATAGGCCAGTATAAACTGGAAACTGGTGTCAATGCCAAAAAAAAAAAGTTTTTAATTTAAACAAAAAGAGAGAGAGAGAGCAAGTTAGGATATGACTTCAAGATCAGACTACTCTCTAATATACATGTTGTCTCTCTCTATTCCAAATGGTACCCTAAATGAAAGAATCAATAACTTGCTTACTAAATTTAGAGACAAATTATATGATGTTGCTAAGATTGGCAGGCATTAGTCCAGTATAAAGAAATATTTAAGGGTAAAGAGGTGTCAAGATAAGAGGTAGCAGAGTGAACAGACCTCCAAATTTGGAGTTATGAAGACCTGTTTGTGATAGTAACTAGCTCTCTGATCCTGTCATTTCTCTGAGCTTTACTTCCCTCATCTGTAAAATGCGGGAAACAATAATACTCACTTTGTTATTTCAAGGCTCAAATGAGATCATTTGTATAAAGTGCTTTATAAAATTTAGATGGCCACATGTTAGCTATGATTGTTATCGTTATTATTGTTATAGATTATAAATGGATTGTATTTCCTATATAGTGCCATAGTGAAAAAAGTCAAATGATAACAGAACATATTAAGATCACATCATTTAAGAACTAGCTTGTCATCTTTATTCTATTCTCTATATTGGTCAGACAAGAAGTGTCAAACATCATCACCAGCGGCCCAAACCAGATTAAAAGGTAACTGGGAAATATTTAACAAAATAAATAAAAATACAATAAAAGACAGATGATGTCACTATGATCTTCTAAGTCAATGTGTGACCCACAGAGACACTTCTGTATGGCTCAGGGGTATTCAGGTTTGACAGCACTGGGTTAAACTCTTAGTAGAACACATCAGAAAACACAATACCCCAAACACAAACGTTGTCTATGCTTTCCCAGGATGATCTCATGGTCTACTGCAGTACTTCCTGTGCTAAATGAGAAGTGGGAATAGGCTGGCTGAGGTACACTTTACTGACATTAAGTCCAGCAACCAGTCCCTCAGGACATACGAAGTACCTGTCAGGATCTAAGTGCCTGTTCAGTATTATACAAAGCACTATGGAGGATACAGAAGAATTATGAGACATACTGCCTTTCTATAAGGACTTACAGTCCATCTGGGGGGTGGGAGGGAGGGGTTAAACACATGAAAAAAATTAACCCACAATAAAAGGGGATATACATAATTAAATGCTAACTGATTAGATAGTAAACTGGGAAGGGGAAATCTATAAGGAGTGTTGTTTTTCCACCCATTAGACAATAAGCTCTTAGAGGGCAGGGATCATCTCACTTTTATCTTTGTATCCCCACTGCCATTATGGAGCTTAGCAAATAATAAGTGCTTATATGTTTTCCATTAATTAATTCATTAATCTTTTAAAGCTTTTCAATTAACCCTGCCATCACCTCAAGCTGAGTTCTAAGGTGTTGCAGTAGACAAAACACTGGACTTGGAGTCAGGAAAATCTGGTTTCAAGTCCTGCCTCAGACCCTTCACTTAATGTTTGTCTGTCTCTGTTTCCTCATCTATAAAGTAGGGATGTAGGTGCTGTAATAGCACCTACATCCCAGAGCTGTTTTGAGGATTAAATGAGAGAATGTTTGTAAAGTGCTAGGCAAACCTTAAATGCCATATGCTGTTATTATTATTATTAATATCATTCACAGTCAGGTCCTAAAAATGGTTATCTACATTCATTGTTTCCATTTCCTTATATCTTGTTCATTTCAAACCACTTACAATTTCACTTCCAACCCTAAAGACTGGCCTGAAATTGCTCTCCCCAAGGTTACCAACCGTACCTGCTAAATCCAATAGCATTTTCCTCAGTCCTCACCACTCCTGACTTCTCTAAAGTTTTCACTCTGTAGACCGGATGCTCTCTCTTCCTTTGTTTTTTGGGGGCATTCCTCTCTTACTTCTCCTCCTGCCTAGTGACTTATTCTCAGCATCCTGTATTGAATCCTCCTCATCATTCTTCTCCCACACACTAAATGTGCCCATCAGTACATTTTGGGTTTGTCCTGGGTTCTCTCCTCTCTCTCTAGTCTATCACTTGTGGATTCATTTATCATCTGTATACTAGTAATATTCAAATCTATGCTGCTACCTTTAATCTCTCTTCTGTAGTCCCATCCTGTATTGCTAACTGCATGACAGACAGCTCCACCTAGGTGTCCCAAAGGCATTTCAAACTCAGTATGCCTAAGATAGAACTCTTATTTCCTCCAAAATGCACTGTAACCTAAACTTCCTTGTTTAAATTGAGGGCATCCATCTTCCTTCCAATCACCTAGGTGCAAAACCTTAGGGTCATCCTCATTCGCAATAGCCAAGCAAATGCCAAGGCTTGCCAATTCTCCCTCCAAAACTTTTCACATGGTTGTCAGTAAGTGCCAGGCACGGTGTAAATTTCTGGTGATAAAAAGAAAAGTAAAAATACCATTCCTGCTCCCAAGGAGCCTACTGAGAGAGAAAATATGCAAAAAATTGCACATGTAGGCTATGTATAGTATATAAGGGGAAGGTTAATTCTGAGGAAAGAGACTACTAGTGGGGTGAGCTCTAAAAAGCCTCTTGCAGAAGACATTTGAGGTATTTGAAGGTGTTTGAGCTGAGTTTTGAAAGAAGTCAAGAGGCAAGGTGAGGAGGGAAAGCATTTTAGGCTTGTGGACATCCTACCCATTCTCTCCATTCACAGAGCTGCTAGACTAGTTCAGATCCTCAACAACTCTCACCTCATTCATTGTTGCACTTCATACTCAAAGGGGACCAAAATGACATCACTACCCCAGAGTCAAGGTAGAGTGTGTCTGATCGTGGCTGATCAGACCAATCAATACAAGCTCAGAAGGCTCTACCACAGGGTGGGCACAAACAGTCCGTTTGAACATTTGGAGTGGAGGTGTCTCTAAATTTAGGCACCTCAGGCCTCTAACCTTTTTCTTCTCTAATACACCCTCCACACAGCTACCAAGGTGATATTAGTAGAACATATCCACCCATACTACATCCCCTCCCCCACTTTTAAAAAAAATCCATTTTTACCTACCTTTGTACAAGTGTTTTCTGGAATACCTCACCTCCTCAATTCTTCCTCATGGAATCCTAGCCTCCACCAAAGCACAGTCCAAATATCACTACTAAACAAAGCCTTTCCTGACCCAGCCCTACCACATATTAGCGAGTAGAACTTTCTTCGTCCCGAAATGATGGTGTACCCATTCTGTATTTGCTCCTTATTTGTGTCCATGGTGTATCCTTCAAGGCTAGACTAATCTCTGGGTGAGCAAGGGGACAGTTTTGTTTTGGTCTTGTATTCACAATGCCTAGCCCATAGTAGACATTTAATAAATGATGGTGAAACCGAATTGCCTGTTGCCTTCATTCTAGTCCCAATAAATAATTTATTTCCCTTTGTTCTATTTTCCTATGCTGTCCCCTACACCTGTGAATGTAAGCTTCTAGAAAGCAAGGCCTGCTTCATGTCTGTCTTTTTCTCTCCCGAGCACACGGACTGGCACAAGGTAGGCAATCAATAAATGCTGGTTGACTAATTAACAGCCCGCTATGTCAGGTATTACAATTAATTTTCCTTCTTTTAGTCAAAATTTGCCTCAACTCCCACTTCATACACAAAGTCTAACCGAAATATAGAATTCCTGAATGGAAAAGACCATTATTTGAGGGACAAAGAGAAATGCAACCCAAACCCTGGCTTTATTGGATTCTCATAGAAACACCAGGAATCCTAAATCAGTTATTAAAATGTGCCTGTACCTCTGCTTTGGTTAGCTGTTCTCGGAGCTTTTCCACTTCTTCTCGGAGATCCCGAATGATTCGCGCGTTGGGGTCTTCGTTCACTACTGCGTGGTTCACAATGTGTTTGGCTCTGTCGGCATACCTCAGAGTTGAAAGGGTCTCATCATAGTTATCAGCTGCAGGGCTGACAGTAGCCACCATGGCTGTCTTGCTGTTACCCCCAAGACTATCCTGAAGGAGAAAAAAATAATGAAATCATAGAATGTTCCAATTGGGAGGGACCTCAAAGAAAAACTATTCAAACTCTTTCATCTTACGGAGGAGAAAAATGAAAGCTAGAGAAGTGAAATGATTTATCCAAGGCCACAAAGTCAATTAATAGCAGAGCCAGGCTAAAACTCAGGCTTTTTGACCCACAATCCAGTAAGTATTCTACCACATCAGATGAAACTTTCCATTTAATTATACATAAAGAAAAAATATATATATATAACTGGCTTGCCTGGCATAATTAGTCATTAGAAATGCCAATTTATCCATCACTAATAAACAAAACTATTATACATCAGCATACGCTCATTGGCAGACGAACGTTATGTAGTTCTCCTGTAAAATTAAGATTTGTGTTACAGGTCTCCCAAAAAGATACTAAATAATCAAAACACCATTTTATTTATGATTGGGCCATATAAAATGATGGGAGTAAAGACCATCTTCCTCCCACAATTGTTAAAGGGATACTTTCTAATTTTGTGGGTTCTATGGCACTAGATTAATACGACCAGAAAGTACCGCTAGCTTTTGGTCACCAACAATCTTTACTTGAACCTCTGAAATTATATAACAAAACATACAAGAGTATTAGTAAGATTCCAAAAAATGAAATCAAGACATTTCAATTCACTTTAAAATCTTAAAATATAAAGTACTTCATGCTCTGCAGTACCTTTTCCCCACAAAAGCCAAATCCAGGAAAAGGCTTGCTGTATGTGTGATAAAGAAAACCAGACTTGGAGTCAGGAAAGTTGTGCCCTCAAAGCTTGCCTCTAGGGCGTGCTAGCTGTGTGACCACAGGCAAGTCACCTGACCTCACTGAGATTGTTTCCTCCTTGGTGAAATGAGAAAAATAATACCTATAGCACCTACTCCACAAGTACAGCTCAAAAAAGGAAACATGTATAAAGCGTTCTGTACACTTTAAAGGACTATTTATTAACATAAGTTGTGGCTATTATATTCTGGTTCTCCCTGGTTCAAGATTCTACACCTCTGAAGTCTATCCCCTCACATTGGCCTGACCACATGAATCTCTTTTCAAATCTCTTTTCAAAAATTTAACTTAGCCCCTCACTGTTACTAGGATAAAAAAGAAACTCCTCAGTCTGACATGTAAGGCCTCCACAATCTGGATTCAACCCACCTTTACAGTTATTTCATATCATTATACTTTCTGTTCCAAAGTAACTGACCTAACTGTTCCCTGAATTCAACATCTCATCTTTACATCTTGCCAAAGACTCTGTCCTTCACAACCTGCATGCCTGGAATACATTCTCTCCTCAGCTTCCTTTAAATCTCTACCCCGGGAGCCATATCCTGCATAAACCTTTCCTAACCACCACCCTTGACCCCCATGAGAGGGCCAATAACTAGGGGCTGTTTTTTTGTCCTTATATCCCTCCTTCACACATAGTAAACACTCAATAAATGTTAGTTTAAGTAAACTGACTCCACCTGGATATCGATACGGGACAGAATACATGGAGTCAGATGACATGGGTCCGACACTTGCAGGACTTTGTACCAGACCCTAGTGACCTCTCAGCCACTGCTCCTCCATCAACCAAATGAGGAGTTGTTCTGGACCACCTCGAAGGCTCTGACCAGCTCTAAACCCCACCACCTTCTATTTTTCCAGCTAAACCTAAACAGGTCACCACAGTGAGAGGGACTCATGTTAACTGAGATGGTAAAGAATCTGGCACCCATGTCTGCTTGTGTCACTCACCTGCATGGCAGAGAAGAAATAACGGTGGACCTAGCATAGGTACACACAGGCTCAAGTCTTGCCTGTCTCCCGAGCTGTACGAGAACAGGTGAGTCACTGAACCTGGCCAAGTCTCAGACTGGACGTCTATAAAATGGGGTAACACCTACGGGGCTAGCCTCATCAGTGACCTGACCTATTTAAAGTGCTTTGCAAAATTAAAGATCAGTTGTTACAATTATCATTATTATCATTATTATTATTATTATTATTATTATTACTACTATTGCTTCTACTGCTATTGCTGCTGAAGCTGCCGACACCACCACCACCACCACCACCACCACCACCACCACTACCTATAAAAATACACCACCAACAATCTCCTTAGCCTGATAATTAAGGATTTGCATAATCTAGCACTGAGTTTTCTTTCCAAGTTTATCTCACATTACACTCCATGCTGCATGCTAAATTCTGGCCAAACAGGACTACTGGCTGTGCCCAGAACTCAAATTGTTATCTCTCACACTTCTCTGCTTTGTCACACTTCATGCTTTGTCTCATTCTTAGAATATACTCCTTTTAGAAGCTGCTGATTCGTAGGTCCGAAGACCTGCGTTCTAATCCTGGTGCTGCCAAAAAATTAAATCTTTGGCCTTAGGTGAATCATGTAATTTCATCAGGCATCTGTCTCTTCATCTGTAAAACAAGGGGTTTAGACCAGATGATTCCTACCCCCTTCCTGCTCTCACAGAGATTTAACAGCTAATACTCCAAAATCTATTTACACATCCACTACTAACAACTGTCTGCTATAGAAACACAAATAAAGGCATTCTATCCTGAAAGAAAATTTGCGAGAAGGAATGAAACAGTGTTAAAGTTGGTTATTTGGGGCTAGAAGGGATCGCAGCTTTCTGAGAAGCTCTCTGTCCCCAAGCTTGATGACTGCTTCATTTATAGATGCCAATCTAACATTTCTGACACACTTGCATTTGGCAACATGCTAAAATGTTAAGGAGGGTCCCACACACATTAATGAGAGTCAAGAGTTGCTTCTAAAGATCCCATCTCAGTTTGCCAATGTGTGCACCAGCAACACTGAGGTAGGTGGGGCCCTTCAACAACCACATACTGTTAGCCCCAACAGCTACCAAAGTGACTGGCTAAAAGAAGATTTGCAACAATAACCGCCACAGTGAAAAACTGCACACGGTGTGCTTCAGTTTGTGCTGAGGGAAGGAAACTTGGACAACAACAAATACTTGATATTTTAAAAGCCCTTTGTGACTTTTAAGGCAACAAAATATTCTGCCTACACTGAAAATAGCTGAAGCTGCTCAGAAAAAGGAAATAACAACAAAAGAATTGGCACTTTTTCAAAGAAAAAGCAAAGTCCTTCATTTACTCTGTTTGTGGAATTACACAAATTCTGCTTCAGATGTAGCAAAATCAAAGGAAGTTAAACATGAAAAAAATGAAACTTTTAGAATCTTAAGATTTTTAGAGCTTAAGGTTCGACAGATGAGAAGGAATAGCAACAGTCAAAAGGGCTCAGTGACTCCCCCAAGGTCACAGAGCTACTGAGGAGTGATAAGAGCTGGGGGTGGAGCTCAGGTCTCCTGATTAACTAAATCTGGCAAGTTTTCAACTATTCTATGCTGTCTCCTAGCAAAGAGGGGAGAAAAGAAGATGAAAAATGGCCTAAAAAAGCCATGATACATAAGAATGCCTGTATTCCTTAAAAGACAATAAAACAAGCCTGTCAATGATTAAATATTCATAACTAATGCACATCAGAATAAAATTCTTACACAGAAATATATTCTAGCATGAAAAAAATTAATTTAATTTCTCTCTTCCTTCAGAAAATAACTGTTAGCTACTACTTGCTACACACCTAGAGGTAGCATGTTGTAGGAGAAAAGGTGGTGAATTTGGAAACAAAAAACAAAGTAAAATCCAACTCAACAAATTCAACAAACATTAAGTACCTTCTATAGAGCTAAAGCCTATAATGAGGGAACTACAAAGTTATGTTTTGTTCATATTTTTAATCTTGAAAACATGGCTGCTGCCATCACTGGACTTAGCAGACCTAGAAACAGATAACTATAAAACACAGTATTATACAATAGGCATATTAGAAGGGTATAGAATAAAGCACTATGTGAACTTGGAGAGAAAACGTTGCTGCAACTGATGCTGGCTTCCACTGAAAAAGGGGAAAGGAATAAGCATTTATTAAATGCCACTATGCACCAAGCACTGTGCTATGTACTTTTCAAATATTATCTCATTTGATCCTTTTAACAATCCTTCGAAGTTGGTGCTGCTATGATCCTCATTTTACAGTGAAGAAAACTGAGGCAGACAGAAGTTAAAAGAATTGCTCAGAGTCATAAAGCTAGTAAGTGTCTGAGGCTGGATTTGAATTCAGATCTTCTTGACTTCAGGCCCAGCATTCTATCCATGTGCCACCTCGCTGCCTTTCAAACAGGAGAAAATGAAGGAGCGTTGCAGACATTTCTTCCAGAGGTTTTATCTCACACACAGGAAGGATTCTGACTGTAAATCTAGACACCAAAACATTCTAGCCTTATTCTTTTGCTCCTTCTCTTCCATTAAAAATGTGAAGAAAAAAATTACTTACTTTTAAGAGCCAGGTGAGGACAGAGTCACGGTATGGAACAAATTTGTTCTTGTTTCTTCCAGCACCCTGATCTGCGAGGGCTGAGATAACCAGACCAAGGGTGGTGAGGGACCTGCAGGGTGTCATGAACACTAGTAAGCAAAAAAAAAAAGAAAAATCTAGAGATAAAATGTCTGAACACATTCATCAAGATTGATTGGGCCCACATCTGAGTGACACTATGACCCTGTGGTCAGCATAATGGCATTCAACTGCCAGCCTATAGAAACTACAAATTAATACTTCTACCTAGTGCTGCTGAGCAAATCAAACTGCTTCCTCAAGAGTCTCCACTCAAGCCTGTGGCAAAAATCATTAGCCTGCTGCACACTTATAATGCATGTAGATACCACATGAAAGAAATCACCAAAAACAAGACCAATACAAAGAGAGGCTTATGTCAGAAAACTCCCCTACGAAAAATAATCCTTCACAATTTTTCTATTAAAGTAAACCCAACACTAAAAGATTTCAGCCATCTGATCACTGCAATGACTGATGGTGATTTTAGAAGACATCTAAGGCATGCCTTCTATCTGTCAGTAGGGAGATGGTGGACTATAGTTTTAGAATGGGGAATAAGGCTAACATATCTGTTTTGCTTGAATGCTTTTTTTTTTTTTGTTACAAGAAAGGGTTGAATTGGGTTGGGGAAATCACTGGGAAGGGAAATAATTTTTTTAAAAGCATCAATAAAACAATTTTAATAGAAAAATAACTATAATATAAATGGAAAGAACAACACAGACAGAGCTACTGAAACTCAATGTGGCCAAAGTTTAAGGAGCAAGCTTGGCTCCAAAGAAGACGTTACGGGAAGACACCACCCCATGCTCTTTTTCAGAGGTGGAACAATGCCTAAAACATCAAATCTTCCATATGTTTGAGTGCTTTGGCTAAAATGGGAGGATCTAAAGGAATGGGTAGAAGACATCTGTCATCTAGGTCCAAGGGCTCCAATCATAAAAAGAAAGGTTTCCTCCAAGATTTACTGAGAGATATACAGATACCAGGAAGAATTCTCTGCTGCGTAGGAAGCATGGAGGTTATGGTGGATTAACACAATGACATAATCAATCCTATCCGTGTCTGTTTTGGACACTGAGATTTCCTAGCTGAAGGATGAAGGGGGCTGGCTCAAGGGACTGGAGATGGAGTGTGGCCATTATAAAAAAAGTTGTTTGTATTCTTCACTAGTGGTAATTAGTCAGGCATAGGAATAGCATGGAGAAAGCCCCAATTGGGGCTTAATGCATGTTGTACGGTTCAGGCCAAACAAGTACAGAAAGAAGCCAGAGGAGAAAAGTGCTAACCTGTGATTACCGGTCACTCTAAAGACGTGGGGAGCTTCACATCTCTAATTACCCAGGAGATGGAGAACTACTACAGAACAAGGAATGGAAGCAAAGCGTTTATGGGAAAATGACAGGTATGCTTGAAGGTGAAAACTTGCCCTATTAGTTACACCAGCCAGGGTCAATCCTCAGTGGGGACATACTTGATCATGAGCTCCAAACCTGGCTTGTTAAATTCCCCGATAGGAAAGTATGGCAGAATTAGGACAACCCCTATACACAGGAAGGAATTAGTGAATAGAGCATGTTATGTGAATATTATGAAATACTCATCGCTCATTGTGTAGACCAAAACTACAAAGGCAATATGGGTTGGTTATGGTCAGAATATGTTCGATTAGTTAATGCAGAGGGCTATGAAGGACATTAAGTCTAATGAAGAGATCTTTATACAGACCAATCAGTTTATTGCACTCCAAGACTACTAGACTGTAATTCTAACCCACCTGCCACCGAAAAAAACACGTCACTGGTTATGAAGATTAGGAGATAGTAAGGATGGATCGGTATAAATATACTACCACCACTAGAAAATACTCAAAGCTCAGTTATCACTGGAAATGAGGTCAATAGATCCATTTTTGTATGTAAAAAAATAACACTGATTACTAGCTCCTAGCTCCATCTATTAGACCCTTTAGCCTTAATAGAAACATGCTAAATTTTAAAATAAAAAATACATCAAATTTTCAAAGCTGCTTACCAACAAACAGGAAAGTGAGCTCCTAAAACCCTTACTTGTTAATGTTGCTTCCTTCCTTCAGCCTGTCACCCGCAGCGCCTGTTTTTGTGGCTCTTTCACTACCTGCTAAGTCAACCAGGCTTAGTTTGCCCACCTTCTCTCCTGATGTCTGGAGAATAAGACAAACAGTAATAAGAAGTAGTTGGTCCTGTTTTGATACATGGAATTCAAAGTCATTTATACAGAAAGAAGCAGATTATTTCCCACCTGGAAGATTCACTAACCAAACGCCTTGTGGATAGCTTGTCTCTTTATCAAAAACAGGTAAAAACTAATACTTATCTATCATAGACTTAGTTTCATGAATGTACTATGCTACCATTAGGAATTGTAATTAATTTTTTTTAAAAAATCTCAGTTTTAAGGGGTTTACAATAAAACACTAAATTATAATGAGTACGCAGAAACACCTTAGAAAAGATGTACAAGATATGGGATCTTTGCTAAAGACAGAAGCTCATTAACTTACCAAATGAATTTTTCTATAAAAATGGAGAGTACCTTTAATATTTAAGCATTAAAATTGTTTTTTTCATATTTTAAAATCACACATACATATTCACAAATATCTTCAATAACTTTGTGAATTTATTTCAACAATCTTCAGCTCTTCCACCAAGTCCTACTCTGATGCCTCACTGAGGGATAAAAGTAAAGTCTGTTTAGACAAAGGCAGCAGAACATCAACTCTAGCAGGTTCCATCATGCTGGAAAGGCTTCCAATATAATCCTGGCAAAAGACTGTGACTGCTTTTGAAGGACCAGGAGACTGGCCTCTTGGTGACGAATTCTTTGGTCATGGCAACCCATGAAACAAAAGAAAAATATAAAATGGTCCACAATATCACACAGAACACCCTTCCACTTCTGTAGTGCCAAAGGGTGTAGAGGTAGAAACAAATGAACAAGAAATGTGGGGGAGAGGGAAGAGTACCAGTTTAGTTGAAATGCTGACTTTTTGACTACTATTTTCTTAACTCAACTCTTCAAAACAGCTATAATTTCATTGGAACGGATACTCTGCCTACTCTTCAGAGAAACAGATCACAGTCCCTCCCAAGTATTATTAGCAGATAGGTTTGTGAATTCCTATGATCAAAAATAATTCATTACACGGTCATCAGTCTGCTGGCAATGAGGCTCTCCCAATTCAGCCAGACTGGTGTTTGTATAATAGCTTGTCACTGGACCTGCACTCTAAGCCTTTCTTGTTTGGCTAGTACCAATCAGAACTTGCTAGCAATAGTTTTCAAGACATAAGGGTTGCCACCACAACACAATGAGCCATCTGAGGAAGACTAGTAAAGCTACAGCTTCTAAAACAAAATTGAAGCATGAAAACAAATCTAAAATTTTAGGACAGAATCGCTCACAAAAAAAAAAGTTAAGATGAACCACTCACACATACACATTTAAAAGCAACAGAGAATATGACAACCTGTTGCCAAATATTAAATCCTTCTCAGAAATAATAAATAATGCACCTGACCTAATAGAAAGGCATGCATCAACTGAATTCACCTACATCAAACTGATTAAGTATAATTTCACTTTATGTTTAAATTAAATAGAAACCAAGGCACTTATCCTAAAATATAGTACTGTTTGCTAAAGTGCCTTAAGCATATTAGGTACTTAATGAGTTTCTGTTGAGTTTCCTCAACTAAATGGCCAAGTCATTTATTGTAGCTTTACAACATTTGAAATTCACTCAATGGAGAAAAGGAAAATTTTCAATTAACTCTGCAAAGGAGGGAAAAACAAGAATTGCAACCAAATATATTTCTCAATGAGTTTTAAAAAAATATGACATTATGCCAATATTCACAAATATTACCTCCTCTCCTCCTACAATTTGCTAGGTACCTTTCAAATAGATCTAAAATGATGTTATAATATATCATCGTCTTATTAAATAACACCACTAAAAGCAGACTTCCTCTTTTCCTACAACTTGCTAGGTACCTTTCAAATAGATCTAAAATGATGTTATAATATATTGTCATCTTGTTAAATAACACCACTAAAAGTGGACCACTAAAACTTGGAAAGCAGCTGGGAAACTTTGCACTGTGCCTTGGCTAAATATACTTAGAGGCAACCTAGAATTGATTTTCCTTAGTTCACTTCCTGTCTTCTCGAGCCTTACGCAAGCTCAATTTTACTATTTTTGGAAGGGTAATTGTTCTTAATTATCACCATTAAATCTGATACCATAATTCTGTTCACACTTTCATATCAATTTTTTTCAAATTAGCCATCACAGCAATTTAAATTCAGATACATGACTGGCTCAGATTCTATCTTTTAAAACATCTTCTGCTGATCATGGGCAATGCAGAAAAGCAATGGTTTTAGAGTTTGAGGACCTGAGTTCAAATATCTGCTCTGTTACTTACTGTCTATGTGAACTTGAGCAAGAGATTGAAGGTTTTTACATTTTAGCCTCCTCATCCGAAAAATGAGGGTGTTATATTAGATGGCCTCTAAAGTCCTTTACTGCTCTAAATCTCCAATCATTTAGTACATGAGTAAGGCAAGCAGTGGGTGATTTCACACCAGTAACCTTACCAAGAGTAAAGCCTTGTACATGAATAATAACTCTGTTGCACTTACCCCTGATTGCACATCATACAAAGAATGTGTTAGGATGATTTTGAAGACCGCATGGGATCGACTGCTTTCCTCGTTCATGTTGGTTGCAGCAACTGTTCGGGACTTATTGCCTTCTGACATCAAGGACTCAATATCCTACATAAAAATTTTAAAACATTAGATGATTCATTTTACTGTTTGTCCAAGGAACATTAAACATTCTACAGAACTGTATTTCTTTTTTTAAAAAAGGGAAAAAAAAAACAAGAAAAAAAGAGCAAAACCAATGGCTGAGTCAATTCCATTTACTCATAAAAATTTTGGTCTTTTCAAAATGCATCAGCCAAGACAGTATCCATTGATGATTTCATTGAAAACTAAGAATGAAACCTAGCTTGAGTGCTCTAAATGTAACTTAAAACTGGCAAGAATTTAAGCATTGGCTCCTTAAATTATGTTGCTGTACTGACCCATGGAATAAAGATTGTGCTATTGTTCATTTGTTCATGCCCACTGTAAGCCATGGATAAATAACTAAATATCTATTTTCTCTGAAGTTAGCTCAATTTTTGACATTTCTTACTTCTGCTTTTCAAATTTTTCTAAAATACAAATTAAGATGGTTGATACTATATGAGATTAACAGAACAAGACAACCATCTAAAATCATACTGCTAATATAATGTTAGATATATTGTTTGAGACCTAGAGCTTTCTTCAAAGAGTCTTAATATTGGGTATAATTTCTAGAGAAATGGAATGCTACTTTTTGGAATACAGAGAGATTATAGTTAATTGAATTAGGAGCCTGAAATTTCAGCAATAATAATTTTTTTAATTTCTGAAGGTGGTTAAAGAGGATAATAAGTATGAAAATCAAATGTCCTCTTCTTTAATGATAATTTTTAAGTGACCAAAAAACCCAACATGCATAAGATGCATGAAAATTTTCATAAACAAGAAACAAAATAGGACCTTCAGCTTTACAAATATGAACTGAAATTGAAATGTAAGCAATTCTCTTTCACATTAAAGTTTCTGACTCCTACTCTGACTATTACAGGTGAGTGGTGATGCTTTGGTTATGGCTTCATGTCACTAACAAGCTATGCTTGAAGAACAGAAAAAGATTAAAATGCTCTTACACTAAATTATTTTTTGAAGGAAAAAATACCTCATCATTAAAATAGCTTAGCATAAACATTAAAACACGTTATTAATGAAACACCCAATTACTATAAAATTATCAATCACCATGCAATCTAACACTGGCTTTACTCTCACATTTAAGAACTAACTCACCATCTTGAATCTCTTAGATGAGTCGAAGCTTCTCTTGGATCCATTTCATAGTAACACCTAGGGTACCTTACTTACTCATTCTGTGATACTCTCTGTCAAGAAGTTTCCTTTTTTTTTTTAAAAAAAGAAGGTTCTTGAATAGACTATTAAACATGGCTTGTAAAAACTTAGAAAAGCAATGCAAGGGGCAACTAGGTGGCATAATGGATAGAGCTCTGGCCTTGGAGTCAGGAGGACCTGAATTCAAATGTGACCTCAGATACTTGATACTTACTAGTTGTGTGACCCTGGGAAAGTCACGTAACCCTGACTGCCTCACCAAAAAGCAAAAAAAAAAAAAAAAAAAAAAAGCGATGTGAGATCAATAGGAGCCAGTATAGTTTCATGACAAGGAATCAAACCAAACTACCTTAATAGTTCTTTTTATCAGTTACTACACTGGTAAAGCTGGCAAATGATGAAGACATGATATATCTAGAATCACAGATATAGAGGCCAGTTCATATGACTCCTTCATTTCAGAGATTAGGAAACTGTAGGCCAGAGTTGTTTAGCAACTTATACAAGGTCACAAAGATAGTAAGGGGCAGAACTAGGCTTGGAATCCATGTCCTTTGATACCAAATCCAGGAAACTCTTTTGGCAAAACATGTGACAAAGTCTACCAAAATAAACTAGGGGACAAAATGACAAATGTCATGGTGGGCTGGAAGATCTGTAGTTAGGTGGATGAATGGCTGGCTAAACAAATGGACCTGAAGACTGAGGCCTAACAGATCAATGTAAATCTGGAAATAGTTCATTAGTAGCACGCCACAGGGCTCAAGGTGATGTAGTGGTATCCTCTTCCTATTTCTATCTGTCCCTGGGTTTTTTATGATTGCTCCCCTAAAAGGATGAAGGATGGAGTAGAAGTGAAGTTTTCTCTTCTCCTTCTGCTGCTGGCAAGGTCAGTGGGTTGCTATGAAAGTATGACATTGTTCCTATCTACCCTCTAAAGGGGGCAGTTGGGTGGTACAGTGGAGACAGCACCAGGCCTGGAGTCTGAAAGGCATGAGTTCAAATTCAGCCTCAGATACTTACTAACTGTGTGACCCTGGGCAAGTCACTTAACCCTGTTTGTCTCAGTTTCCTCATCTATAAAATGAGCTAGAGAAAGAAATGGAAAAGCACTCCAGTGTCTTTGCCAACAAAACTCCAAATGGCATCGTGAAGAGTCAGACATCACTGAAAAACAAGCCTCCAAAGATGGACTAAAATACCAAAGTCCTCCACAAAGCAACACTGAGAGAACTTGGCCAATACTTTTTATACTCTAGCTGTTCCAGGCCAGGCCTGCCTTAGGCCAGTCCAATGATTCCAGTTTGGAAATGGAATACAATGAAATGCTCATGGATAATGAAATTCGGTAAAATAAGTATATTTGTAATAAGATTAAAGACACTGCTCCCCTCCACCTCCATTTGGCCCAGAGCAGCAACGTTGCAGAGCAGTGGGAATTCCCCCAAACTTTAAGATTTGTATGAACTGATACAGAGTGAAGTGAGCAGAACCAGGAGGTCAATTTATCTGATAACAACAATACTGGAAAAATGAATAATTTTAAAGATTTAAGAACTCTAACCAACAAAATGATTAACCATGACTCCAGAGGACTGATGATGAAAAACGTTATCTGGTCACCTCCTGACAGAAGAGTTTTTGAAAAATACATTTTTGGACATGGTCAATATAGAAATTTGGTTTTTTTGACTATGTGTATTTATTTTAAAGGGTTTTGATTTTTCTTTTCAATCCAGTGGGGCAAGGTATGTGAGGGATAAAAAAATAAATGTCTGATCACTGAAAATATTTAATTCAAATTAAATATACATTTCTAGTATAAGTTCACAGTTTCGTAGATAATTTTGTTTCTGTTCTCTTTCACATAGTGAAATGTTTGTCTGTTGATGTTTGTTAAGCCCAGAAGAGAAAAAAATTGAAGTACTGTAAGTCTTAATTTCATATCTGAGTTCTGAAATAAATTACCAAGGTATGGGAAGAGGATTTTTCAAAACACTTTTACAAATCTTACCTCATTTGAGCCTAAAATCAGTTCCATGAGACAAACAGGACAGTATTATTATTCCAATTCCAACGAAAAATATTAATTCTAGTCATTAAGTTAATTACACTAAGTCTTAGAGCTAGCAAGTGACAGTTCAAGGCTTCACACCCTGGTCACAAGGTTTCAGAGTTAGAATATGTAACCTCAGGGGGTCATAAAGTTCAACCCATAACTGAAGAGATATCTCCTCTAATAATAAAAAAAAAGCACATGGCATTTATATTTTGCTTTACTGTTTTTAACATACTTTGTATACATTATTATCTTAGGAGAATCTCACAACAACCTTATTATACCTATTTTACAGATGAAGAAAACTGAGGTCAGAAAGGCTAAGATGTCATCAAAAAAATGAACAAAAGGAAGAAAAGCTGGGCTGGTCACGTGGCAAGGACCTGGGATTACAGGCGAAGAGCCTGACTGCTCCACTGCCATCCTTGGCATATCAGGAGAAAGCAAGAAAGGCTTTCCCCAAGTCAGGTAGAGACCCCCTCATGAACTTCTGTCAGGACATGGATGGATGAGAGTCACAAAGGATGGGTAACCTTGGATGGGTTGCAGTGTACACGTTGGAGGAAACATTTAGAACACAATCATTTGAGTAGCTGAATATCTAGGGCTCAGCACACAGTACATGCTTACTAAACGCCTACTGATTGATTAGCCAGCAAAGGCAAATGCAGAGGAATAGTTACAAGAACTGAAGAAGAGAGAAGAGAGTGTGCAGAAGAAGGAAATGGGCAACACTATCAAAAGGTGAGGCAAGGATAATGAGCACTAAAAAATGGCTGACAAAACTAGAAGCCCGATGATTGTCGGTAACATTGGAGTGAGTGATTTCAAAATGATGAGGTCTAAAGCATGATTAAAGAGGGGTGAAAATGAGTAGGAAATGGAAGATATAGATGACTTTAGGAATTTGGGGGTAAAGAGATATATGTGGACAACATGAGCGGATGGCAGAGTCAAGTGAAGGTGTCTTAAAGACAGAGAACTGGGCATGTTTGTGGGCATGCATGGAATCAGTGGATGAGAAAAGATTGAAGACAAGACAGAGAAGGAAATACCAAAAGAACAGATGCCTGAAGAAAAGAAGAGGAGAGAAGAGCAAGGGTCCAAAAATAATGAAGTGGTCTTGGCAAGAAGAGCAACCTCTTCCTCAGAGATTAGAAAAAGGGAAGAAGAAAAGGGGCTAATTTGGAGGGCTTTTGGATTCTGGAGAAGAGGAAGCTAAGACCCACTGAATGAAATAAATGCTTTGCAATTTGGAGAAACAATGGACATTAATAAAGAAAATTCATGTAATAACAAAAATAGTCCAGTGAGGGAAACACAAGTTGTAGAGTAAACCACTTTTTTCAAATTTTTATTTAATACAATTTATAGCAACTACATTAACTATTTTATTCACCAGTGATATGGAAATGAACAAAATCAAAGACTGCTCAACATGTTGAACAGGGTAAAAATTTTGTAAGTAGTCTTACCTGTAACAAAAGTTTTTAAACAGGCCATCATACACACGCATGTGTGTACACACACACACACACACACACACACACACACACTGCTAAATAATAAACTAAAAGGTAAGCCTAACAAGGCAAGAGGCCTTAAGAAGAAAAGTTAAATTACATGAAATCACTGAAAGTTAAAATAATAAAATTCCACTCCAAAGAACTCCTAGAAATTGTCCAAATTCTATCTGAATGATTTTTTTTAACTGAATATCTTTTGATTCCTTGTCCACAGTTTGGATTCAATAATTTCTTATTGTGCAGAGACATTCAGTGTAATTGCATTTCTTTTAACAGAACAAGGTTTGCAAATAAAGACAATGATAAATGAGGAAAAAGATCTTTGAGGAAAACTATTCAACATGATAGAGAAAGACACTCACGGAACCATAAACATTAACTATAAAAGGTCATATAAATAGGATCTGAGAATGAGAAAATGAGGAAAAAAAGATCAGCAAAATAAAAACAAAAAGGTCAGCAATTGGAAATTGTCAAACTTGATTTAAGGTGGATTAAATCTGATGATGCTAAGTCTTATGTACCATCTTACTCAGCTCACATTTACCTACCACTATCTGATCTAGTATTTGGTTTCTAAAAAATCAAAATATTTTAAAACTTTATAATTTCTTTAAGATCTCTATAAAAAGTTCCCCCTCTTCTTATTGTCTCCATAATAATAACAGTTATATAACACTAAAAGGTTTGCAGGGGCAGCTAAGTGGTACAGTGGATACAGCACCAGCCCTGGAGTCAGGAGGACCTGAGTTCAAATGTGGCCTCAGACACATACCACTTACTAGCTGTGTGACTCTGGGCAAGTCACTTAACCCCAAATGCCTCACCAAAAAACAAAACAAAACAAAACAAAAGGTTTGCAAAGCATTGTATGTATGTTATTTCATTTGATCCTCATAATAATTCTGTGAAGAATTGGGTTATTTATTATCCCCATTTTATAGATGAGAAAACTGAGGCTGAAAGAGTTTAAGTGACTTGCCCAGGGTAATATAAACTAGTTAAGTGTCCAAGGCAAGACTCAAACTCTTTAGTAATTCTCAAATGACCTGTACTATAAAAATAATACCATTTTTAAAAAAATAACTGTCTGGCACCTCTGAGATTAGTTACTCCTACATCCTCAATTTTAAAATAAGGAAATGAGTCTCAGAGAGATGAAATAACTTGCCCAAGGTTACTAGAAAATAATGAATGAATGAACAAATAAATGCCTGTTGACTTGACAATGTGCTGCCTCGACTTCCACTTCCAGGAGCTAAGATGGCAGAGTGAGAAGTAAATTGCTCTTACCTTCCCTTATTCACCTCTGAAAGCCCAGAAAATATCGCCCCAGAAAAAAACCTAGAACAGCTGAGCCAGCAGAAAGACAGGGTGCAGCAGTCTTGTAGCCCAAGAAGTTTGGGGGATTAACAGGAAAGGCCCCTCTTGCTCAGGGGGAGAGGGAGCAGTACAAGATGGGAGGCATCCCAGCAAGCCAGAAGCAAGCCTCACCTCAGAAAACCAGGAGGAGATTCTAAGCCCCAGGGTGGTGAAGCAGGCAAGCACTAACAACAGGACCTCCCAAGTACCTCAGTGCAGGCAGGGGAACCAGTAGACACCATCTCAGAAAACCACCATGTGTAATAGTGTTCTCCAGCAGCCAAATCTCCCAGTGCCTCAGCACAACTCTGGGAAGCACAACTCCATGAGGCAAAGCTCTAGGCTGACAAACATCCTCTAGCAGCCAAACATCCAACTGCAAGGCCCAGGTGAGCAGGAGCCAAACGAAAACTCAAGTGCCAGACCCAAGTGAGCAGGCGTGCCCCCCCGGGCCAGACCCCCCACCCCCACCCCAAGAGCTCCAGTGTTGCTGACCTCTGCCCAACACCAGGTGAACTGCCAGAATCTTACAGACTCCAAGTGGCAGCACCCGAGGACCCAGCACACAAAGCCAGGGACCAGGTCCCGGGATCCCAGCACAAGAAGCTTGTGTCAGTGCCCTCAGCACTCCAGCAGGAGAGCTCAACTCTTTTTAAAAGTCAGGAAATAGGCAAACACCATGAGCAAAAAAGAAGAAACAGACAATGACCACAGATTCTTATTATGGGGACAGGGAAGTTCAAGGCACAAATTCAGAAGAGGATAGCATTGTCAATATACTCGCATCCATAACCTCAAAGGGGAATACAAAGTCTCAAGGCCAAAAAGCCTTCTTGGAAGGGCTCAAAAAGAATTTTAAAAGTCAAATAAAAGAGGTAGAAGAAAAATTGGGAAAAGAAATGATAAGTATGCAAGAGAGAGTAAACAGCTTGGAAAAGGAAGGACAAAAATTAACTGTAGAAAACAAGTCCTTAAAAATACAATTGGCCAAATGCAAAAAAAAACACTGAAGAAGAAAATATGCTGCCTCTCTTAACCATTTTCTAGAATGCTTTCATATACATTGTATTTCATGTGATCCTCAAAAAACAAAAACAAAAATTAAAAAGAAAAGTTAGATAGGAAGAACACTCTTAGATCTGAAAATAGACCTTGAATTCTAAATAATAAACTAACAGTTAATATAAATTAGCCCAGCTATAGACACAATTTCATCAAAATTATTACTCTCCATCATATATCCCGTCAGCAAAGTCTACCTTTAGAAAATAAAGGAAGGGGTGGGAGTGAGGGGTTCAGCAGAAGGACACAGAGAAAGACAATTCTGTTGCAGGGGGAAAGCTTTTTGTGAATTACATGGTAAGAGCACACAGCTTTTGCTTCCTAATGAGGCCTCATCTCTTATAAAAGTTACAATCAGTTACAGGAAAAGTTGAAACAACAAAACAGGACAAATGATAAATTAGAATATTTCACATAAATGTTCTTTACCTTGTAACTTGTGACAGCCAATTTAGAAAGCCCATCAACATAAGGACCCAGTACGTTGTGTTCTCTGACTTTCAGTGTTTGACGGCTTCTGTTCACAAAGAAACAATAATTCACTTAAAAACAAACGACTAATTCTAGTGGTCTAATCTCAAAAAGAAAAGTGCAAAAAGGTTCATAAAAAAGGATTTTCAATTCAACAAAGATTCAAATCAATAAAAACCAGTTGGCCTGACCCCAGAAGAATTTATGCTCGCTAGAAACCTAAAGGGAAAACTGACTGACAGACATAGTTTGCAGTCAAGTAGTCTATCACTCCAAAGGAAAACAGCAAGATGACTTTACCATCACAAAGGAATGCTAAAAATGCAAAATCAGAAAGCCCAAACAGTCTATGAGGCACATCATACACTGTCAGACAGAGGTCAGAGCTTCAATAAATGTTCACTGTAAATCTAAAATCTAAAAGGTTTCATTATTGTCACAGGGGGGTCAGGTATCTTGAGAATTATCTAATCTCATTGGCTCAACTTTTTTCTTGGACTGTTCTTTTAATTTAAATTAATTATTTCTAAATTTAGAAAACTCTTTCCAAAAAAGGATTTCTAGATGAGAAAAATCTATAACACATATAATACATATATTTGATGTATAACCCATATACATAAAGCGAGAAGAGAAAAAATGAATATGGGGTAAATAGTACTTATACTTCACTTTAATTCCTAAGACACCTTTAGGTCGAGCAGCAAAATGAAAACAGCACAAATTTATAGACAGAGGGTACACTCATGCAGACATGAGTTTGAATCCTGGTTCTAACTCTTTCACAAACTCTGTGACCATAAGTAAGTGACTTAATTTCTATTCTTGAAAGCTTTCTGTTTGAAAGGAAGAAAGAAAGAAAGGAAAAAGAACAGTTTTCTCACAGAGGATAAGTTTTCTTATCTAAACAATGGAGATGATAATGCTTTAAGCTTACCAAACTCACAATGCTATTTAGGAAAGTATTCAATAAACCTTAAAGTGCTATATAAATATGAATTACTGTTCCATTAACATTTGATATAGATCAATAATAAAATCAGAAAATATTTACTGAGCACTTTGAAGATTAAAAAAATATCATGGGGGCAGCTAGGTGGTGCAGTGGATAAAGCACCGGCCCTGAAGTCAGAAGGACCTGAGTTCAAATCCGGCCTCAGACCAAATACTTGACACGTACTAGCTGTGTGACCCTGGGCAAGTCACTTAACCCCAACTGCCTAAAAAAAAAAAAAAATACCGCAACATAGCATATGTTCCCTGACTTCAAGGAACTTTAAAATATATGTGCATATCCATGTGACACACACATAGACACACACGAGAAATAAATTCTAATACATGGCAGTATACAGACGTCAGGAGTTGTAGAGATGAGAGCTCTAGAACTCCTTGTGTTCTCCTCTCCTTAGCGTTCACATTCCAAAGCAACAGGTCCCGAGATCAGGATCTTTCTCTCTCCAAAAGAGATCACCAAGCATGGTGATAAAGGAATGCTTTTAAAGAGGTCATAAGAGCACAAGAGGAGACTATAGGCAAGGTGAATGAGTGGTACAAGCAGACAGAGACGTGTCTAGACCAACCCACTAGCATGGAAGGGTTCCTGTTGGAACTCGGGAGGTAAGGTTGGACTTATGTCCAGAATGGAATGAGATTCTATCAGGCACTAGGGAAATAAAAGTTTAGATAAGAAATGGACTTTGTCCTAATACAATTTATAGACTATTATAAAGATAAGATACATATGTAATATGGAGGATGATGCAATTATACAAATAGAGAATACCTGAACAAATGATGGTGGTACATGAACATCATAGAATGTTATTGGGCTCTAAGAAATACCAAAAGCCACAATAACTTACACAAGAACAACAACGCTATGAAGAAAAACAACTTTGAAAGACTTAGGAATTCTACAATTGTGAATGACTAAGAGTATTATAAATACACAAATCAACTACAAAGGACCTATGAAGGAAGATGCTATCTACCTTCAGAGAAAAAACTGATAAACAGAAGTATGCCTAGCATGGATTTACGTGGGGGGGGGGGGCGCGTATATATCTATGTCAGATGGTGGCCTTCTCTAGTGCGGGATGGGAAAGGAGGGGTGAGGGAGGGAGACAGTCGGACCTTAAAATGTAACAAAAATAAATGAATAAATAAATAAATTTTTAAAAGAAAGACTTAGGAATTCTGATCAATGCAATTACCAGTTATGTCTAATGACAACCTATAATGAAACATTGGAGAGGGAGGTGGCTAGCAACAGTAATGATGAGAAAAGAGAGCTACTAACACATTGTTTAAAAACTCACAGAACAAAGTACTGAAGAGAGCACAGACAAGCAGTAGATTTGAAAGTAACAGATAGAATACAGTATGTGCTTAAAACATACAAGTGGTATTAAACAGAGATTTATGGTTTCATAAAGAATATTCTTTTGTGTTCTGCTATGTTGTGGAAACAAGAATGAGGAGACAAGCATCACAACTGTTCTAAAGTCTGTTACGCTGGCTGGGTCTATTTGTCTTGTTTGAGGAATCAATCTGAGCTGGATTGCTGTGAGCCCTATTCAGACTGGACAACAGAGCACCTAGGTAAGCACCTACCTGGCTGAGCTGGGCCATAGAGGCCAGTGGCACAGAATTTGATGAGCTTTGGAATTCTCTGGCTTAAAGGGGACTGGTTTTCAGAGTAAAAAGTAACACTTTTTAAATACCCTTTTAAGGATGATGGTAAATTCAAAGAGCTTGTAAATGCTATGGTTTCAGTACAGGAGAGAAAAGGAGTAGGATTTGCCCAGATGACAAGTGGTAAAGACCAAAAGACAAACAACAAGCAGAGAAGCAGTTTCATGTGGTGCAGATGTTCCATGAATGACATCAAAATATTCAGTCCACAATTCTGAAGTATCCCAAGAATGTGAGTTTTTTCCCTCATGGGCTTTTTTGTCAGATTCCCATATGTGCCCATTCTACCACAGATACTGACAGTGCCCTGGTAAGAAAGGATGACCAAGTTTTATACGTGGATAGTGATGTACTTTATTATTTAGGAACTTTTCTTATATATTTAGCATCTGTAATATTATTATTTTGTCCTACTGATAATTAAATGGTGTTTTTATTTTGTTTAAGAAAAAAGTAGAAATTTCTCATTCAACTGTGATATCTAGGAAAAGAGTGCTAAAAGGTTAAAATTTAGACTACAGAATTGAACTCAAATAAATGCTGCTAAGTGAAGGCATTAATTCCAGCATAAAGGTTTAGAAAATGCTGAGATAGAAAACAGGCAAAGAAAGAGTAGAGAGTATATGAAGTCAATAGCAGAGAGGGAATAAAAAGGGTATGAAGTGGTTGGAAGCTGGATTTCTACATAAGATCTTCAGCCAAGTAGAGTCTGTGGTTTTACTTTTGACCTGTCTTCGACTCCTTGTCTACTGGCTGTTTCCCAACTGCATACAAACATGTCTCTCCTGTCCTCACTAAATCCATCCATGCCCACTAGTTATCATCCGATATCTCTTCTCCCTTTTGTGGCTAAACTGTCCTTAAGAAGGCCATCTGTAATTGATGCCTCTACTTCCTGTCCTGTTCCTCTCATAATGGAGATTATTGCAATGGCCTGCTGGATGATCTCCCTGGCAAAAGTCTCTCCTTACTCCAGTCCATCCTCCACTCATCTGTCAAAGTGATATAGCCTCCAGAGTGCAGGCATCTATGAGTAAATACTGCAAAACAAAGGAAAATGATGAGACAGAGGACCCTGTGGAATCTGAGAACACAGAACCACAACACACTGTTCTTGAGTGGTTTAAAAAAGAAATGAGAATTACAAGAGCAAAATTTATGTCCTACACAGAGAAAATAATGAGCAGTTCAAGAAAAACTTGAAGCTGCAATGGCAATCCTCAGCAAAAAAAACAAAAGCGAGAACAACAGACTGGGAATGTAATACATAGAAGTGAAGGAGAATTTAGAAGAGAAGCAAAAAACAATAACATTAAAAGAAAACTGGGTCCCTATGCAAGCAAAACATACAGATCTTAAAGACAGAATGTGTGGAGACAACCTAAGGATCTTAAGTCTACCAGAAGAAGGACAGGACAAAAAATCTTAACACCATAGTGAAGGAAATAACAGAAGAGAACTGCCCAGAATTTCTGAATATAGGAAATAAAATTCCAGGGGCAGCTAGGTGGCACAGTGGATAGAGCACCAGCCCTGGAATCTGGAGGACCTGAGTTCAAATCTGGCCTCAGACACAAAACACTCACTACCTGTGTGACTCTAGGCAAGTCACTTAACCCCAATTGCCTCACCAAAAAAAATAATAAAATAAAATTCCAATGTAAAGAATTAACAGATCCCCCCAGAAAAAAACCCAAGGCTACAAACCCATGGTGGTAAAATTTAACACTTAAATTCAGAAACAAGTTCTGAAAGCCAACAGGAGAAAGACCTTCAAATACAAAGAAAAGGACATTTGAATAATGCAAGACTATACATCTACTAAAAAAAGGAGGAAGGAATGGAATGATGTGTTCAGAAGAACAATGGAGCTCAGGATGCAGCTCAGTGTGACCAAACCTACAATCTGAGTTTAATCATATCAGACAAAAGATGGACATTCAGTAAAGAAGAATTCAAAATATTTTTGAAAAGAAAACCAGAACTGAAGAGATTGCTTCTCAAACACTCCAAACAACAGAAGTGCAAGAGGAAAGAATAAATGCAGTACAAGGACAGTAACTGAAATAGTGACAACAGAGACACCAGAAGAGATTTCTTTTCTCTGTAAGAGATAATAGTGAAGAGCCAGACAGGGGGCATTAAGGACAGACAATAGAATGGTGATAATCCCACCAACAGGAGAATCAATGTTTTATTTTGTTTTTTTGTAGGATTAGATTACAACATAGGAGGGTACCTAGAAGGGGCTAGGAAGGAAGCAGGAGAATAGAGAGGAGTGAGTCATGGAGGGAGTTGGAAGGGGGCTGGGGGGTGTAGGATTCAAATCAAGGGCTAGCAAGGAGGGGAAGGGAACCACAGTGGTCTCAGAAAGGGAAAACTCTACACAGGGGAGAAGGTGAAGAGGAAGGGGAAAAGGAAGGAGGTCTTATTTTGGAGGTGGGAATGAGATCTGAACCCCTAAAAGGAAAAACCCTGGACTTTCCCACATGGTCAAGTCTCTGGCGTTAGCCTGAGGCCTTTCATTGTGGCCATACCCAGTCTCCCAATTCTGTTCTGTTACCTTCCCAGGCCACTTCCCAACCTTAAATCCTATCTAGACTCCATTCTCCCTTGGCCAAGTGGTCCAGGTAGTCCAGGTCTCTGGCTTTTTGTTACCTCACAGTCACTACAGCTTACTGGCCACTCCCATCAAAATCCTCCCTAGACCCCTCCTCACAGTCACCTCAGACTACTTGGCCACTCCTAGATCTCTCCCACAGTCTTTCTGTACATAAGATCCATCCTGGCAGCCACTAAGGTGATCAGATTCTTAAAATCTGACCAATGGCTCAGATTCTTAAAAACTAGCCAACAGCGCAGACTCACTAGGAATCTCGTTCACTCCAATCAGTGTTCTAACAAACCTAATAAATAAAATGAAACTTCTAAAAAGGTTCTAATAGACTTCTGGCTGAAAGAAGGCTTGGGTCAAATTCATTTGGGCAGGACCCGCATGTTGCAATTTTGGTTTTCCAGCACCCCTAAACCTCAATAGGATGGGGTTCCACTGATGAATGGCCTTTTGTGTGAGGAGAGTTGGTCAATGAAAGCAGATGAGGAACTCACACTGGATTAGGCCAAGGGAATTTGGAGCCTGAAAAGTCTACTTGTCCTGGGAGGGGGGAGTCAGAACGCCCAGGGAAACTGGCACCTGGAGGAATGGAAGAGTATGGACACAGGGAGGAGAGTTCTAGGCAAATGTTGAAAAAAAGGTCAACAAGAGAGGATATAGATCAATGGTGGGCTATATAAACAAAGACATGGTAGGAGAGGGGCCCTATGGGGCAATGTCTTCTGACACTGCAATGACTGGCATTGTTCTGGAAGTGAGACATAGGAAAAGGAGAATCTATGGGGTAAGCCCTATTGTTCAGTGGCAGAAGGGAGGGGAGAGCCTAGAATGGATACCTTGGAACCTTTGACTGCTTGAAGAACACAGAGAAAAGAGAGATACCAGATAATAAGAGGAGTAATAAAGCAGAGAATGAGAGTCTAGAGTAAAAAGAAAGAGAAGTTGGATAATGAAAAAGAGAGAAGTCTTTTTTGGAAAGAGGTACAAAAAAATTAAATGAAAAAAGCAAACAAACAGGACTAACTGAAGGATAGGAAGGGGAAATCTACTTGACTGAGAGGAAAAAAGAGGAGAAAGAAACATATGACCAGATAAACACAGGCAAGAATTAATAAACAAAACCCTAAAGGGAAAGGGGTAACAAATGAGAAGAGAGGATCGGGGTGAGGAGAAGCGAGGCAGCAGGAACAAAGTCACCTTAAAAAGATTAAAGCATTTAGGCAATTACCTGGCACACAGGCACTTGATAAATGTTTAATGCATTGAAGTAAAGTAACAGAAGAAACATAATACTGTGTTTACAGTAGAAGAGGGAAAAAATCATTACTTGAAAAAAATTTTAAAGACAGATTGAGGAAAATATAAACCTAACTCATAACTTTAAATGTGAATGGATTAAATAATACAATATATGAAAAAGAGTGAAAGACTGGATAAGAAAACAAAACCATACAATCTATTCCTTAAACTGAAAAGCTTCTGCACAAACATTAATGCATTTAAGATAAGAAGAGAAGTGGTCGAATGGGGAAAAAAATTTTTTGTATCAAATTTCTGTGACAAGGGTTTGGTATCCAAGATAAATAAACAATTATACAAACACACACACACACACACACACACACACCCCTATATAAATACAAACATATGCATATGGGTGAGAGTATGATGGCTAATAACCATTGCCAATAGCGATGACTACATAGAAGCATAGAAAGGTCTATATGACCTGATATAGAATAAAGTAAGCAGAGCCAAGGAAAAAAAAAAAAAAAACCACAGTAACTACAACAATGTAAAGGGAAAGAACAATGGACCAAAAAAAGCAAAAGTAAATTTAAATTATAAAGATCAAGATCAAATAAAGAGATATATGAGAAAATACCTCCAACCTACTCCTTAGTGGAGGTGGGAGATCCACAGGTATTACCACTGTACATGTTTTTTAACTTTTTCAATGTATCAATCAGTTGTACTTTTCTTCTCTTGTTTAAAAAATGTCTTTTAGTTTCAATAATCAAGCATTTTAATAATTTTTGCATCAGTAATATTTCAATCTTCTGACAGCAACCAATTTTTCAATCTCACTTTCTTTTGTTGTTCCTTTGTTAACTGGACATGAAAAGAGTATTTTTCATACTTTCATGAGGCATGTAGGAGGCACAGTAGATAAAAACACTAGTCCTAAAATCAGAAAGACCTGAGTTCAAATCCAGCCTCAGATACTTACTATCTACATGACCCTAGACAAGTCACTTAACCGGTTTGCCTTAGTTTCCTCATCTGTAAAATGGAGATAATAATAATACCTACCCCCTAGAGTTCTTATGAGATCAAATTAGATAATAAATTACAAAATGCTTAGCATAGCACCGGGCACATAGTTGGTACTAAATAAATGTTAGTCATTATTATTACTATACTAATATTGTATTTTTAGGCTTTGTTCAATTTGCTACAATTTTACATTCAAATTATAATTAATTAGGGATTGATATTTCTGCAAACATCATATCATTCCACAATTTTCTCCTAATTCTTTTTGATGTTTTTGCTTTTAACAACATCTAAGGACAAGAAACAATAAAGATTGCATTCTCCACATCCATAATGGTGAAAGTTTATTCCATTGGTAGTAAGTGAATTAAAAAGAAAAAATATCAATTGTGGGTCACACACGTAAATACTATCTAGTTAATACGGGCAAAATAAATCAACGTTTCATTCATCTGCTTTTTTTCCCCTCAAAACAGGAAACATGAGGCTCCAGTCAAGAAAAATAACAAAACATGTAGAATACCTCAATAATATATTATGGCAAGAAATAAAGAAAGAAAGAAAATAAGAAGAGAAAGAAACAAAAATACAGAGGGATAGAAAAGACCTTGAGAAAGATACAGACCTACACACGTACAAACACCACCACTAAGATTCAAACATTTAGGGAGCATCACTTATTTTTTTAGAGCACTGACACTAAAGACTTCGAGGAGCTTATTGCAATTTAGTAAGTAAAGGTACAGATGGATATAGCATCTCTGTGGACTTGCCCTCAGAGAATGGATGAAACTGGATTCAAGAGGCAGTGAGGCATAGGTTCTCCACCATTATTTTGTTTTAACAACTAACATTCTGTATGATATTTGCATGATGGAATAATGTGGCAAATAATCCATTCTATTACATTTCCATGATTGTCATGAACAAGACACTGATCTTATTTCAGTTATTTTTATGACAACTTCAATCCCTTGATCAACTAATCAGAACCCTGCCTGCACCAATGGAACTTCTAAAACTCTGAATCAACTAAATACAAGAAGATATCAAGGAGACAGTCAGGAAGGCCTGGGGTTCAAATCCTGCCTCTGATAGACAGAAGACAAACAACCATGTACTAGCCACCTAACTTAGCTCAAACTTAGTGTTCTCATTTATAAAGTGGGGTTGTTGTGAGGTCCAAATGAGATAAAATATGCAAACAAAGCATTTTAAGAACTTTAAAGTGATACATAAACATTGGTCACTATCATTATCTTTCAGACTTCGGCTAATTTTGTCTTTGACTCTCATTGGCAATTCTGGTCTTCTCTTAACTTCTACTTGTAGCTACTAGATTCATAAAGATAGTAGTTATTTTCAAGTATCAGTTGCTCAAGTACTAATTTAAATCATTATCATATTTTATATTAGACTAAAATGAAAGCTGGGAGTAAAAGTGAGAGATAAAAATATGAATAGACACTCAAACACATACTTTTACTATCCCCCAATAGTCAGGACTCCCAAACTTCCCTCCCAGTTCATGCAGCCTTAATTTCTCTAGGGGCTCTACCCACCAAGACAGAAGTGTGGATAGAGACCCCAGTTCGCTACAAACTGCACCTTTGATTATGGCAACCTCTACTCAAAAGTATTTATGAGCTTGCCACTGCCTACAAGAAAAAAATTAGATTTTTTTACGAGGCATTCAGAGACCTCCACAATCCGGCCCCAAATTGGCCATTCCAATACGCACCCTCACACCACCAACTATACAATTAACAACACAGAACATTCACTAGCCCCTCTTTGTACCTCTATTTATACTGCTGATTTTCACAACATGCTTCTAGTTTTGCCCAATTCCTGCTCCTCCTTTAAGGTCTAATTGAAATGGCTTCTCCCCCATGAAGTTTTCTGAAACCTTCTGAGTCATCTCTCCCTCTTCTGAACCTATAAAGCATTTAATGCCTTTTTCTCCTTGAATTTTCATGCAAATTTTATATTTAGTTATTTCTGTACATGCTCATATCTCCTACTACATTATAGATTTAATAGTAGGGATTGTGTCTTATTCTTCTTTATCTGTTCCATGGTACTTAGATCCAGGTCTAACATACACTGAATAAAAATTTACTGTAGTGCAAATATATTTTAAAAAATGTAAAATCTACTCAAAGTTAATAAATTCCTAATGGATGTCCATATGAAAATGTCATTTTTGCCAAGCCAATTAAATAAATAGGATAGTCTGAAAAAAAAACAAACAAAAAACAGAGGTCACACAACATTATTTGATTAAAATTTCTGTACCCTTTGGGGTCCAAGAGGTCTCTAACTTTCTCATTATAGATTTCCATGTAGGATACTTCAACTTTGAAACTCTGTTCTTCATTCTCCTCTTTCTGAGTTCTTTCAAAGAGGCCACTGCAAAGTCTTGGGATTAATCCAGGTTGGTCGGCCGTGCCCATCATTGTATAAGATTTTCCAGACCCTAAAAAAAAGATAAGACATGGTTATAATAATTTCTTTGGAGAGGGGAACAGGTTCACAGACTCTGTTATTATAAAATATCTCCATTATATCCAAAAATACAATGTAGGGACTCAATAATGCTTGCTGACAAGTGATAATGATTGCAAATCACAAGCTTCACTACCATGCATATGGAAGAGAATTCTTAATAAAGAATAGAGATTTTCTGTAATAAAATTCACATATAAAAATAACCAAATATCACTTCAAATAAATGAAGAGTAAGGAGCCAAATTGGAAGAGTTCCCTTTAAAAAGCCAAGAATATTTCCCAAATTGAAAACACTAAGTAGATTTTGTAAGTGCGACATATTATTGCTTCTATCCAAAATACAATAGCAAAGGGGAGGAGCCAAGATGGTGGAGAGAAGCCAGGAAGTTGCCTGAGCTCTCTCCAATTTTGCTCAGAAACAACATTAAATCAAGCCTCTAAAAGAATTCTAGAGCAAAAGAATCCACAAAAAGAAGCAGGTAAACAACTTTCCAGTCCAAGATAACTTAGAAAGACTTCAGGAAAGGTCTGTCTCACTTGGATAAAACAGGAATGCAATCCAGCATAGGCAATGTCCAGGCAAGCCAGTGGGAGGCTTTTTGTCACAGCACAGATCAACAACCGAGATGCCATGGTCCAAGCTCAGCAGGTCAGCAGTAAGGCCTCCAGTCCCAAAGCAACAGGCAAACTGCAAGCCCCAGAGACACTGGTGCAGAAAGCCAGCAACCAGATCCCTGGACTCCAGTACAAGATGCTTGGGAAGGCAGACCAGGGGAAGGGGTATTTAGAATGCATGCCATCTTGGGGTGGGGGGAGGGGCAAGATAGGGTGAAAATTTGGAACTCAAAATATTGTGGAAGCAAATGTTGAAAACAAAAAAAAAAATAAAAAATTACCATTAAAGATAGCATGGGCCAAATTTGGGTAGGGGAAGGAGGGGGGAGAAACATTGAAGAAAACAACTCCTTTAAAAGTAGAATTGGCCAAATGGAAAAGAAGGTAAAAAAGTTAACTGAAGAAAATAATTCTAGGGCAGCTAGGTGGCGCAGTGGATAGAACTCCAGACTTGGAGTCAGGAGGACCTGAGTTCAAATTCGGCCTCAGATACTTGACTCTTACTAGCTGTGTGACTCTGGGCAAGTTACTTAACTTCAATTGCCTCACCAAAAAGGGAAAAAAAAAAAATTCCTTGAGAATTAGAATTGGGCAAGGAAAAGCTAAAGACTCTATGAGACATCAAGAATCAGTCAAGAGAAGAAAATGTAAAATACTTCACTGGAAAAATAACTGACCTGAAAAATAGATCCAGAAGAGATAATTTAAGAATTATTGTACTACCTGAAAGCCAAGATAAAAAAAAAAAAAAAAAAAAAAAAAAACATCCTGGACAGCATCTTTCAAGAAATTATCAAGGAAAACTGCTCTGATGTCCTAGAACCAGACGGTAAAATAGTCACTGGAAGAATCTACCAATCACTTCCTGAAAGAGATCCCAAATTGAAAACTCCAAGGAGAAAGTACTACAAGCAGCCAGAAAGAAAACAATTCAAGTATCAAGGAACCACAGTCAGGATTACACAGGACTTAGCAGTTTCTGCATTAAATGACTGGAGGGCTTGGAATATGATATTCCAGAAAGCAAAGAAGCTTGGATTACAACCAAGAGTCAACTACCCAGCAAAACTGAGCATAATCTTTCCAGGGCAAAGATTAACATTCAATGAAATAGGAGACTTTCAAACTTTCCTGCAGAAAAGACCAGAGCTCAAACTTCAAATACAAGACTCAAGACAAGCATAAAAAGGTAAACAGAACAGAAAAACAAAACAAAACATGTTATTCAATAAGGTTAAACTGTTTACATCCCTACATGGGAAGATAATACTTAAAGATAAACTCTTAAGCACTGTATCTCTATTAGGGCAGTTAGAAAGAGTATACTTAGAGGGTGTGGGTATAAGTTGATTTTGATGTGGTGATTAAAAAAATAAGGAAAAAAAAAGATTGCACTGGAAGAACAGGAAGGGAAGGTAGAATGGGGTAAATTATATCACATAAAAAGGCATGCAAGCCCTATTAAAGTAGAGGGAAAGAACAGAGGAGGTGAGCATTGTGTGAACCTTACTCTCATTGGACTGGGCTCTAATAGGGAATAATACACATACTCAGTTGGGTAAAGAAATCTATCTTATGCTATAGGGAAGGAGAAGGAGAAGGGAAAAAGAAAGGGGGAAGGATGAGAGAAGGCGGGGTAGATTGAAGGAGGCAGTGGTCAGAAGCAAAACGCTGGTGAGGAGGGACAAGCGGAGAGGAGAGAGAGAAAAGTATAAATGGGGAAAACAGGATGGAGGAAAGTACATAGTTAGTATCCGTAACTATGAATGTGAATGGGATGAACTCTTCCATAAAGTGGAAGTGGATAGCAGAGTGGATTAAAAACCAGAACCCTACAATATGTTGTTTACAAGAAACACATCTGAAGCAGAGAGACACACACAGATTAAAGGTAAAAGGCTAGAGCAGAATATATTACGTTTCAAATAGAGTAAAAAAAGCAGGGGTAGCAATCCTGCTCTCAGACAAAGCAAATGCAAAAGTAGATCTAATTAAAAGAGACAAGGAAGGAAAACTACACCTTGCTAAAAGGTACCATAGACAACGAAGTAATATCAATACTAAACATATATGCACCAAGTGAGATAGCATCCAAATTCTTAGACAAGTTAAATGAGTTACAGGAAGAAATAGACAGCTAAACTATACTAGTAGGGTACCTTAACCTCCCCCTCTCAGAACTAGATAACTCTAACCACAAAATAAACAAGAAAGAAGTTAAGGAGGTGAGAATTTTAGAAAAGTTAGATATGATAGACCTCTGGAGAAAACTGAATGAGGATAGAAAAGAATATACCATGTTCTCAGCAGTGCATGGCACCTACACAAAAACTGACCATGTATTAAGGCAAAAAACCTCACAATCAAATGCTGAAAGTCAGAAATTTTAAATGCATCCTTTTCAGATCATGATGCAATAAAAATCAGATGTAATAAACAGCCATGGAAATATAGATCAAAAATTAATCTAATCCTAAAGAATGAGTGAGTCAGTGGATAAAGCTCCGGCCTTGGAGTCAGGAGGACCTGAGTTCAAATTCAGCCTCAGACACTTCACACTTACTAGCTATATGAACCTGGGCAAGTGACTTAACCCTGACTGCCTCACCAAAAAGAAAAAAAAAAGAATGAGCGGGTCAAACAACAAATCATAGGAACAATCAGTAATTTCATCAAAGAAAATGAGAATAATGAGACAATATACTAATATTTATGAGATGCATAGTACTTAGAGGAAATTTTATATCTCTAAATGCTTACATGAATAAAACAAAGAAAGAATAGATTAATGAATTGGACATGCAATTTAAAAAGCTGGAAAAAGAACAAATTAAAAGTCATCAATTAAACGCCAAATTAAAAATTCTGAAAATAAAAGGAGAGATTAATACCACTGAAAGTAAGAAGACTATTTAACTAATATATAAAACTAAGAGTTAGTTTTATGAAAATACCAACAAAATAGATAAATCTTTGGGTAATTTGATTTAAAAAAAGAAAGAAGAAAACCAAATTACCCGTATCAAAAATGAAAAGAGTGAATTCACCACCAATGAAGAGGAAATTAAAGCAATAATTAGGAGCTATTCTGCCCAACTGCATTACAATAAATCTGACAATCTAAGTAAAATGGATGAATATTCACAAAAATATAAATTTCCCAGATTAACAGAAAGGAAATAAAATACTTAACCTCATTTTAGAGAAAAGAAATTGAACAAGCCATCATTGAACTTTCTAAGAAAAAAATCTCCAAGGCCAGATGGATTTACAAAAGAATTCTACCACACATTTAAAGAACAATTATTTCCAATACTATATAAACTATTTGGAAAAATAGGTGAAGAAGGAATCCTACCAAATTCTTTTTTATGACACAAATACAGTGCTGATACCTAAACAAGGAAGAGGCAAAACAGACAAAGAAAATTATAGACCAATTTCCCTAATGAATACTGATGCAAAAACTTTCAATGAAATATTAGCAAAGAGATTGCAGCAATTTACGACCAGGTAGGATTTATACCAGGAATGCAGGGCTGGTTCAATACTAGGAAAACAATTAACATAACTCACCATATCAATAACAAAACCAACAGAAATCAGATGATTATCTCAATAGATGCAGAAAAAGCTTTTGACAAAATACAGTACCAGGAATAAATTAAGCTTTCTTTAAAATGATAAGTGGCATCTATCTGAAATCATCAGCAAGCATTATCGGTAACGGGGATAAACTAGAAGGCTTTCCAATAAGGTCAAAGGTGAAAAAGGATGCCCATTATCACCACTATTATTCAATATTGTACTTGAAATGTTATGTTAGCTTTAGCAAAAAGAGAAGAAAAAGAAATTGAAGGAATTAGAATAGGCAATGAGGAAACAAAACGATGACTCTGTGCAGATGATACGGTATACTTAGAGAATTAACTACTTGAAACTACTTGAAATAATGAACACCTTTAGCAAAGTTGCAGGATATAAAATAAGCCCACATAAATCATCAGCATTTCTATATATTACCAACAAAGCTGAGCAGCAAGAGATAAGAGAAATTCCATTTAAAATAAGTGTAGACAATATTAAACATTTGGGAGTCTACTTGCCAAGACAAACTCAGGAACTATACAAACACAATTAGAAAACACTTTTCATGCAAATGAAGTCAGATCTAAATAACTGGAAAAATATCAATTGTTCATAGGGAGGCCACACTAATACAATCAAAATGACAATTCTACCTAAATTAATTTGTTTATTCAGTGCCATACCAATCAAATTACCAAAAATAAATTTTTATAGAGCTAGAAAGAATAATAACAAAAGCCATCTGGAAAAACAAAAGGTCAAGAGTATCAAGGGAATTAATGAAAAAAAAGTACAAAGGAAGGTGGCCCAGCTGTACCAGATACAAAACTATATTATAAAGCAGCAATCATCAAAACTATTTGGTATTGGCTAAAAAATAGAGTGGTGGATCAGTGGACTCGATTAGGTACACAAGACACAGTAGGCAATAACTATAGTAATCTACTATTTGATAAACCCAAAGACTCCAGCTTCTAGGTTAAGAACTTATTATTTGACAAAAACTGCTGGGAAAACTGGAAAATAGTATGGTAGAAACTAGGCATAGACCAACATCTTACACTGTATATCAAGATAAGGTCAAAATGGGTACGGGATTTAAACATAAAGGGTGATACCATAAGCAAATTAGGAGAACAAGGAATAGTTTACCTCTCAGATCTATGGAGAAGGGAAGAATGTATGACCAAACAAGAATTAGAAGATGTTATGAAATGCAAAATGGAAACTTTAGATTACATTAAACTAAAAAGGTTTTACACAAAACCAATGCAGCCAAGATTAGAAGGAAAGCAATCTTCACAGCAAGTGTTTCTGATAAAGGCCTCATTTCTCAAATACATAGAGAACTGAGTCAAATTTATAAGAATACAAGTCATTTCCCAATTGAGAAATGGTCAAAGGATATGAACAGTCAGCTTTCAAATGAAGAAATTAAAGCTATCTATAGTCACATGAAAAAATGCTCTAAATCACTAATAATTAGAGAAATAAAAATTAAAACTACTCTGAAGTACCATATCACACTTATCAGATTGGGTAATATGACAGAAAAGAAAAATGATAAATGTTGGAGAAGATAAAGGAAAATTGGAACACTAATGCATTGCTGGTAGGAGCTGTGAACTGATCCAAACATTCTGGACAGCAATTTGGAACTAAGCCCAAAAGGCAACCAAACTGCGCATATTCTTTGATCCAGCAATACCTCTACTAGGTCTGTATCCCAAAGAGATCATAAAAAAGAGAAAAGGACCTATATGTACAAAAATATTTATAGCAGCAAAGAGTTGGAAATTGAGTGGATGCCCATCAACTGGGGAATGGTTGAACAAGTTGTAGTATATGAATGTAATGGATTACTATTGTGCTATAAGAAATGATGGGCAGGCAGGTTTCAGAAAAACCTGGAAAGACTCGTATGGACTCATGCTAAGTGAAGTCAGCAGAACCAGGAGAACATTGTATACAATAAAAGCAACATTGTGTCATGATCAACTATGAATGACTTAGCCCTTCTCTGCAATATAATGATCCTAGACAATTCCAAACAACTCATGACAGAAAATACTATCCATATCCAGAGTCTGAATGCAGATCGAAGTACACTATTTTCACTTTTTTTGTCTTTTGTTTTTCATGGCTTTGTTCTTTTTGTTCTGTTTTTCTTTTACAACATGACTAATGTGGAAATAATTTTATATGATTGCACCTGTATAACCTATATCAGATTGTTTGCCATCTTGGGGAAGGGGGATGAGAGGGAGGGAAGAAGAAAAAATTTTGAACTCAAAATCTTATAAAAGTGAATGCTGAAAACTATCTTTACATGTAATTAGAAAAAATAAAATAATATTTACAAAGTACATAGCAGAAGTAGTCCTCCCACAGGTCACTGAACAAACCACACCCTTCCCCCACACACACAACTGCCCCCAACAACAGTAAATGATCACAGAATCATGAAGAATAAAGAGTGAATTACTAGATACAATGTTACAGCAATCATTAATTTGCTTGAAACCAAACATAATTTCCTGTTTACCACAAAAATTTATTAAGCTACATAGTATTTTTGATTAAATCAGTAATGATCACAGTTACTGGCTATGCAACATTAGATGTATCCTATTACAGATGTATAAAGGTGTGCTGAACCATAGGTTAGGCGAGGGTGGCAAGAGAAGTTACAGTTTCCATGCTTTCATGTGGAAAATAAATTTCGCCACCTTATCTTATCTTTATAATGAAATGATACATGGGCTAAAAAGGGAAAATAACTTTTCCTTTCTTATATATCTCTCTAAAGAATAATGCTGCCTAATTTTGTCTATATAAGTAAACAAACATGTTTTTACTTCCTCTTCTCCTGTTTGCTCATGAAATGTCATGTAATGTAGCCTTACCAGTTTGTCCATAGGCAAAGATACATGCATTGTAGCCATCAAAGGCATTCTGTAGGATATTTTCTCCAAGGCACTGAAAAACAGCATCTTGACCTAATAAAAGGAAAAAAAACCAAACAATTCTAAGTGAAACCTGCATATGAACAAGCTAGAAAAGTCACAGAAGGCAAACACAGTTAATTTCTATGCCCAAATAGAATTCTTAGATTCAAAATATACTTTTAATGGGTTCACAGCCTCCAGTTTTTTCTAATTAACCCATGAAAGAAAACAAATGAGAAATAAGCCTAGGACTAGAAACCTGGAAATCTTTCTAACAATTACAACTGTTCAAAAATGGCAAGTATTGAGAGGTGGTAGACTTCCCCTACTTGAAAATCTCAAGGAAATATTGGATATAATTATCTGAGTTGGACTTGATGATCGTTGATGGCTCTTTTAACTCTCAGATTCTGTGGTTAAGTTTCTATGACCTAAGAATATAAATAGCTTTCATTCAGAGCATTCTGGGTAGGCCCAAAATGTTTAAGAATTTTGCAGTCTTGGTCTCTCATAATAGAATAAAATGAAATCTTAAAGCCAATTAGAAAAGGATTACATAAAAGCAGATTATAATGAAGAGATGCGATTCTAAAGAAAATTCTTAAAGACTTTGCCACCTTGGCAGAACTGAATGGCAATGCCATGTTTCCAGAGTTGAGAAGTCAGAAGCAGTTGAAGTTAATAGCTCGAAGTGATGCTGGTTGTGCTCTTTCTTACCAATATATGTTCTTGAAGTATTTAATTATGCCTTTGTATTTTTAATGTATATTAGGTGTTCACATTAAAAAGATGTTATACTAAGAAATTAGGGTTAAAAATTAAAGTTGTAGCCCTAAATTTATGGTTAGAAGGACTTGAAATAATCCATGTTTTCTGGAAGACTAGATTTAGCACAAGAGATTTATGTGAGACCACCTCCCTAAGAAACTATCTTGTGGCTGTGTGCTACTATCCATAAACAGAACCAGTAAAACTGAATTAACAAGTGCCAAACCATTACCTCTGCCAAGAAAACAATTTGCAAGTCTTGCATTATATCACAACAAGAAAAAACTTTCATAAAATCACAGAAGCTCAGAGTTGGAAGACCTTAGAAGCTATACCCGGACAAGAACTCCCTTTACAAGAAGCAATAATTTAGCCTTTGAATAATCAGTGAGCACAACAGATGAAGATTAAAGGAGAATGAGAAGGTGCAGTCAGACAGGGGATAGATAATGAATGTGTACCCCTGAAGTCTCCTCTCTCCAGAGAAGAACCTAATGTTTCCTGAGGGAGCCCATTCCATTTTGGAAAGCTCTAATATTTGGCCACTTTATAACTTCTTCCATTGCTGTCAAGGAAAATAAGCCTAATAACCTTTGCACATAACAGGCATTCAAATGCTTGAACACAATTATTCTAGATCAATCAATGAATCCACAAGCATCTATTAAATGCCAAGCACTGTACCAGTCCCTGGAGAAGCAAAGACTCAAACTCCCCCCAAAACAAAACAAAACAAAACAAAACAAAAAAAAAAAAAAACAGACCATGCTCTCAAGGAGCTTACATTGAATCAAAGAAACAGTGGAAAAGGTGCATGATTTGAATTCTGAAGATCTGTGTTTGAATTCTGGCTCTACCACTTGCTCCTCTGTGATCCTTGTGAGGTCACAATCTCTCTAGGTCTCAACTTCCTCATCTATGAATTGAGGGGGGTTGACTGGATGATCTTCTAGAACTATGATCCTAAGCATCTGTGTGCATATGTATAAAGAATAAGTTAAAAAAAAAAAGAATAAGTACAGAACAAATACAAGTTGGTAAAAGGAAGGGAAGACAGGTACTATCAGGAATGAAGTCCCACAAAGTTTTTGTGTGGATGGTGGTGCTTGAAGAAAAGTGAAGGAATTCTATGAAAAGGAAGGAGTCCATTCCAGGTATGGGGGTTGGCCAGTGAAAAGACAGAGAGACTAGAAATGGAGTGCCATGTGTGATGCAAGAAAAAAAGGCTCATCTGGCTGGATCCTAAAGTGCAGGAAGGGGACTAATGTATAATCAGACTGCAAAATCGGTTGAGGTCAGGATGTAAATGACAAACAGGAGTTCATGTTTTATTCTTGATGCAATATGCAGCAGAGGTCATTTAATATGGGAGTGATGTGAGCAGATATAAGCTCAGGGAAAAATCAATTAAGAAGGTGTGTGAAGGTTCGAATAGGGAAAGACTTGAGACAAGAAGACTAATTAGGAGGCTTATGCAATAGTCCAGGAGAGAAGTCATGAGAATGGTGGCTATGTGAGTGGAGAGAAGAATACAAGAAATGTTGTCAAGGTAAAAATCACAAGATTTGGCAATGTAATGAGTATGTGAAGAGAGTGAAATGTCAAGGATGACACCTAGGTTATAAATCTGGATGAGTGGGAAGAATGATGCTGCCCTTGACAGTTGCAGGAAAGTTCAAAAAAAGGAGTGAGTTATGTGTGGGGAACATAATGAGTTCTGTTTTGGACATGCTGATTCTGAAATGCCTACAGGGCATTCAGTTCAAAATATCCAGTAGGCAGCTGGTGATACAAGACTAACTACAGGAAAGAAATAAGGGCTGAATACATAGTTCTGGGAAACATCTGCTTAAGAGATAATAATTGAACTCCTGAAAGCTAAGGAGAAAACTTCAACTTATCAAAACTTTCTCCCTCACCAAGCGAGAAAATACACGGAGAGGAGGAGAGGTCCAGTATAGAGCCCTGGGGGACACCCACAGTTAGAAGGTGTGACACGAATGACAATCTGTCAAAGCAAAGTGAGAAAGTATAGTCAGACAGTTAGGACAAGAAACTAAGGTGTAGCCCCTAAGCCTCCTGGCTCCAGGCTACATGTTTCCACTTTCATATGGCATGAACTAGAGGTCTTTCATCCTCCTGGATGTCTTATCTCAATGCTCTCTAGTTTATCAATGCCCTTTCTAAAACGTGGTCCTCAGAACTGAATAAAATACTCAGATGTGGTCTGACCAGAGTCAAGAACAAGAAGACTACAACTTTCTACTTCTGGAAATCGTGGTTCTCAATGCAGATTAAAATCAATTTAGCTTCTCTGCCCCCCATACTGCACTCATGAAGTTGATTGTTCTAAAATAAAATTGCAAGACTTTACCTCTCCAAAATCTTTCAAAGATCACTGTAGGAGGCAATAGTCACATCAAATAATTCTTTCAATATCTTGGGATATAGCTCACCTGAGCCTGGGATTTGAACTCATCAAGCACAACGAGGTACTATGACCTCCCTAGTTCTGTTGCACGGCAACTTCTTTTCTTTCTTTCTTTCTTTTTTTAATTTTTAGGCAATTGGGGTTAAGTGACTTGCCCAGGGTCACACAGCTAGTAAGTGTCAAGTGTTTGGTCTGAGGCCATATTTGAACTCAGGTCCTCCTGACTTCAGGGCAAGTGCTCTATCCACTGCACCACCAAGCTGCCCCTCACATCAACTTCTTAATAGCCATCTCTGTCTTTTCCTTTACAATCCAAAGATTCTGTTTCCCTTAGAAACAAAGCAAGATTTGAATAGCTATGTCTCCTCTCTGTTTCTGTCTCTCTCTCTCTCCCATCACTATTAACCCATTCACCCTGAGCAGGGATTCTACCCTGTCTTTGCTCTTTCTTGTTCTTCAAAAAAGTTTAAAAAAAAAAACCTGCCCCTTGTTATTGCTCTTAGCCTCAGCATGCCCAATACCACAATTACAGATCTTTGCTATTCCCTATTTCCTATTTCCAGCTTCCAGCTTCTGAATATATCTTTTCAAAATTTAAGTTGTTTGATGACTTCCTTAAACATCCATTAGTTTCATTAAACAATTCCCACACCTTCCCTTACCCCCTCCCCTTCCTTTTCATGAAAACTATTTCTCACATTTTTGGAATTTCATTCAGACCTCCAAAGTTAACTTCCCTTCACAGAATTTCAGGCCATGGGATCTAAATTATGCCTAGTTACAAAAGTGATTTTTTAAAATTCAAGTGTGAGATTTAACTCTCCATCATATATGTGTGTGTATTTCATTTGCTATATATATATATATATATATATATGTATGTATGTATATATGGAAAGGTATTTAGTGAAATAGCATGGTAATGAAATTACCAATAAAATACTGTTTCCAACCTGCCTCTCCATAAACCAAGAGTACTTTCTTTTAAACATACACTATGAATAGAAAGAGTGGCCATGTAGGGAACATACATGGGTTAGTCAACAAGTATTTATTAAATGTTTACTATGTATCCAGCACTATGCTAAGTGCTAAGGATACAAAGAAAGGAAAAAAGCATCATCTATCCCCTCAAGGATCTCATCTTGTAAGAGCGGAAGAAAACATGCAAATAACTATGTCTCTACAAGGTATATACAGTGCAGATGAAAGGTAATCTCAGAAGGAAAACACTAGCAGTGCGAGGGACTGTGAAAGGCCTGCAGGAGTGACAGGTGGAGTTTGATCTGAGGACACCAGAGAAGCCAGGAAGAGGTGAGGAAGAAAAGCATTCCAGGCCTGGAATGCCCATGCGAGCACATGGCCAAAGTGCAGATAGAGAGGGGCACATAAATAGGAAGCACATGTAATGAGGACGAGTATACAGAGGGGAAATCCATGTCTCTTGTGCTGTGGGACTACGAATGTCTCCTGGTGATGTCATCATGCTGCCCTGCCTAAGCCTGACCCGAACCACTGGTGATGCTTGTGACCACTGAGTCTGTAGACTCAGCTGGGCGTAGCTCTGCTGCTCTTGTGGCAGATTCTCAGCATTTCATTTCAGCTGGGTGTGTAGCTTGCTGCCACCAGACTCTGACCTTCATCCCTTCTAGCCTTCTACTCTGGTTTCTGTGGGACAAAGTTGTGCAAAGAGTAGGAAAGAGAGGAGGCCTTGAGTTTTTTATACTCTTCTTCACTTGTGTGTTTGAACTTCAAAATTTTTCCACAGCTGGGGTCTTTTCATCAGGAATGCTTACAAAAGTCCTTTATTTCATTAAAGGTCTATTTCTCCCCCTGTCAGATCAGTTTTGGTGGGTAAGTTATTCTTGGTTGGAAGCCCATATCCTTTGCCTTCTGGAATTCCAAGTTCTCCACCCATTTATAAGGATGGTTTCTAAATCATCTGTGATCCTGACCGTGACTCCTCAGTCCTTGAATTGTTTCTGGCTGGCTGCTTGCAGTAATTTTTCTTTGCCCTGGAAATCTGAGATCTCGGCTATGATGTTCCTGGGAGTTTTCGTTTTGGGGTTTCCTTCGGGAGGTGATTGGTAAACTCTTTCTAATTCCTGTTTGCCCTCTGATTCTAGGAGATCTGGGCAGTTTACTTTTAAAGTTTCTTAAAATAGGATGTCTAAGTTCTTTTTTTGGTCATGATGTTCACATAATCCAATGATACTTAACATATTTTCTCTCTTATCCATTTTCTGAGCGAACTGTATTCTTGCTTCATCTATCCCAGGAATTCTAGATCAGTCTGTGCACATGCTACGGTTCTCTGAGGCACTGCTTGGAGGTGTTTTACAGTCATCCTCTTCTTCTGCAGGTGTCCTGAATGTCCTTGCCATCATAACATTTCATTATGGTGGGGTCTTTTTTTTTTCACTTGCTCATTCTTCCAACACATTTCCTGACTCTGAACTTGATGTCAGGGCTGGGCTCTGCCACACTTCTGGAGGGAAGGCCTGGGCTGGTCATGTTTCTTGGGATATTGAGTGTTACATTATTCCAAGGACAGGCTGGGACCTTAGAAGCTTTCAGTACTGCTGAAGTGGTCTGATCCAGGGCAAAGTCTGACGGCTGACCCTGAGGTCTGAGCTCTGCTAGTTCCTCATCTGGCTCCCCTTTCATCTGGGTTTCTTGCCTTGGTTATTCCTCTGCAGGCTGGGTTAGATGCTAGATGTGAGATCTTGTTTTGAACTTGGGTTCTGATTCCCATGATCTTTCAAAGATTACTGTCAGTAGAGCAGCACTTACATCAGACAATTAGTACATCTATTAAAATCCATTTAGGCGGTGTAGTGGATAGAGCACCTGCCCTGAAGTCAGGAGGGCCTGAGTTCAAATCCGGCCTCAGACCAAATACTTGACATTTACTAGCTGTGTGACCCTGGGCAAGTCACTTAACCCCAACTGCCTAAAAATAAATTTAAAAAAAAAATCCATTTCCTACATTCGAGTGAACATGTCAGACTTATGTCCAAATTTCTTCTCTATCAAAAATTTTAAGATGGAGTGATGACTCTTCCCTACTGACCCAAAGTTCCCATCATTTCCTCTTCAACAACCAGAGCTAATTGGTGAAAATGAGATCCAAGGTAGCACTTTCCCTCATCGGTTCCTCTCCTTTTTGAAGGCTGAAGTTATCATTAAGGCAAGTCAGGAAATTGACAGTTGCTCTGATTTCAACAGAAAGAGTGAGCTCCAAAAGCTGTCTAGGTAAGTGAAGCTCCCTGTTTACTAGGGCATCAGACCACTGTGCCAAGCTGCGATTTATTTCCTAAATTCCTCACCTGTTTTCTATTTCTGTATAGGCAGTCTGTAGTATACTGATGACATTCAATTCTACTTTTGCTCTGCTGATGTTCATCCAAATGTCCTTCATCAGGGAGACCCTTGAACTCCTGCATTTCCTCACAAGTATGTGTGAGTGTGTATACATACATACATATCTATCTATATCTATATATCTACATATATATAAAACCACACAATACTAGTCCTCTTTCTCCCTTCCCCTTTGCCCATCCTATTCTTTTTAAATAAGGTTTACTCTTCCAGAGCCATATTCCAACTAAGGGTCATAAGTCACCAAGACACAGTGATTTATATAAAAACAAACATATATAGGAGAACAAAATCAGAGGCAGGTAGGTAGTACAGTAGAATAGAGGACTGGGCCTGGAGTCAGGAAGACCCAAGTTCAAATTCAGCCTCAGACACTAGCTGTGTTCCTGAGCAAATCACTTAACCTACACCTGCCTCAATTTCCCAAACTGTAAAATGGGTATAACATCTACCTCCTACGGTTGTTGTGCAGATAAAATAAGATAATATTTGTAAAGGGCTTTGCAAGCCTCAAAGTGCAATATAAATGCTAGTTATCATCATCATTATTCAATGTACCACCTTGAATTAGAATAGCTTATTCGCCTTACTTGCTACTCACCTTTGTGCATTTGTGTACAGACAGTCAAACTATGTAAAAACTACAAACACACTGAGGTTAGTAGTTTCATCTTCCTACTTCAAAACTTTTAAAATTACAAAGGATAGATTAGAAGAATGAATTCTGATAGTTCTCAAGGAAGTGCCTGGAAAGTAGGACTTTTTCATTTGATCTTTCATAACGGGCATGGCAAAGTCTGACTCCCATTGGCTCCCCCCAGCAAGGGGGAATCTCCGCCAGATTCTGTCAACTAGAAAGGCTCTGCGTATATCCCCAGGAACACTCTTTAGAGCTATAATTCAAGGACTTGTCTTTCTAATATCAGAAAGGCCAAGGAGTAATGAATCAGGGGGAGAAGGGGAAACAGCAACACTGCAAGACAATCTACTAAGGCTGAGGGAAGAGCTGTGTCCTAGTTTAAGTCGGTCCAAATCCAAGAAACCACAGATCGTTAAGTATAAGAGACACAGTTCAAGACTCTATTACCTGCATATTTTTCTTTGACAGATTCATCCATAGACCAGAAGCAGTGATCATAAGCAAATACCTGTTAAATAATGAAAAGTATGCATTAATAATGAAATCTTAAGGAAATGATCCCATATCATCAAAATAGAATTTGACTGCATAAAGCTAAAAGGGTCTCCATGTTTGAACACTTCATATACATAAGAATTCTACCTTTAGCAATAAAAAAAAATGTGTACTTTCTTGAGAGGAAGCTAAGTGACTGAGTGGATAAAAGCACAGGACTTGGGATCAGGAAGCGCTGAGTTCAAATTAATTCTCCAACACTTCATAGCTGTGTTACCACAGGATAATATGAGCTTCCTAGGGTCGTTGTATCAAATGTGATAGCATGTAAAGCAATCTGTAAACATTAAAGCACTATAGACATGCTAGCTATTGTCATTTTGATTGTCACTGGTGGTGTTATGCCAATCAATTCAGATCTGACAAACCTTCGATATAGTTGCTACAGACCCAAATCCTGGAAATGCATGTGTGGAATGCTCTTTTGCATTAACAACTATTAAACATCTCAAACTGGATAACCTGGACACATATTAAACTCCCCTACTACCATCAAGAGCACCACCCTCTTTCCCACTTCCCCAGGCTCCCAACCTAGGCGTTATCCTTCCCTCCTCACTCTCTGTCCCCTCCCCATCCAAGCAGATGCCAAATCCCATCATTTCTATCTTCTCCACCTCTTTTCTATAGGATCCCTCCTCTCCTCTTATATGGCAACCACCCTATCACCTCCGACATCCAACATAAAAATACTCTGGTTTTTAAAGCTCTTTTATCCTGGTCCCTTCCTGCTTTTCCAGTCTTCTTATGCCTTACCCTGCTCCGTATACTATGGAATCCAGTGGCACTGACTTCCTCAGACCAGACACTCCATTTCCCAAGTCTGAGTATTTTCTCTGGCTCTCCCTCGTACCTGGAATGCTCTCCCTCCTCTTCTCTACCTCCTGGCTTTCCTGGCTTTCTTCAAGTCCCAGTTAAAACCCCACCTTCTACAGGTAGCCCTTCCAATCCTTCTTAATGCTAGTGCCGTGGGATCTCATTTGTACCCAGTTGTTTACACGTTGTCTTCCCCATTAGACTGTGAGCTCCTTGAGGATTAGGGACCGTCTTTTACCTTTTTCTGTATCCCCAGTTCTAAATGCCATGCCTGGCACATAGTAGGTGCTTAATAAACACTAACTGACTGTAGTGAAATTGGCGGCGGTGGGGGGCGTCCTCACAACACCTAATATAATGAGAAGTTTTCACTTCATGTCCATTCCACCTCCTCAACATCTCTTACACCAATCCCATTCGGCCCACTAACAACAGAGTACCATGCTTCTTCAGGTCTCCATCATCCATCATCTGGCCTATTATAATGGCCTATCTGTCTCACTGCCTCCAGCTTTTCCCTCTCCAGTCCATCCTTCATGTTTCTGCCAAACTAAGTCTTCCTGAGCACATCAATCCCCAGTTCAAACTCCTCAGCCTCCACTCTCTCTAAAACTGGAATTCTTAATTTGGAGGGCAGAAGATTGTTCATGTTTTTTTAATATATACTTTAATAACTAGCATGATATGACTGGTTTCCTTTGAATCCTGTGTGTATTATTTTACGCATTTAAAGACATTGTTCTGAGAAGGGGTTCAGTCTTGCTAAACTGCCAGAGGGATTCAGGACACAAAAATGGTTAAGAAATCTTTCACTACAGTAAGATACAAATTCCACAGCCTGATATTGAAAACCAAGCACAATGTATTCCAACCTAAATTTAGAGGCTTATTACATATAAGTCCACTTTAAACAGTTCATATTCTAGCCCAACTGGAGCATTCCCTGTTCCCTGAACTTGATATGAAGGCTTCTGCCTCCTTTCAGCCATAGGCCATCCCCCATGCCCAGCATGTACTTCCTCTTCTTCTCTAACTTTCAGAATCTTTATCTTTCTTCAAGGATCAGTTCAGAGGCTATCTTTTCCATGAAGTCTTTCCTGATGATCATCATCCCCTCCCCCTCAATCACAACAAAAAATAAACGTTCTCTTCCCCGTCAAATTTTCCTAGAGAATCTCTTTTGACCTCATCACTACCTACTTGTTATTATACTTATCTGCATATATTTTATCTCTTCCTCTCCACCTCCACCAAAAAAAGAATATAAGCTCTCTGAGAGCAAGAAAGGAACGTGTTATTTTCTAACTTTCTATCGCCATTGTCAAACATCACTGAATGACATTTTATGGCGCCTCAGTTTCCTCATATGTAAAATGAGAGCTGGACCATATGATTATTGAGGTCCTTTCTATATCCACAATCCTGTGAATACATGATTCCTGAAACTTCTGCTCTCAGGTATCTTAAATAACAATGGTATCTTGAGTTAGATTGCCTAAGTCCCCAAAGTGGGAAATAGATAGAGTAAGAGCACAAACTGTAATTGGGAAATAAATGAAAATACAATACAACATAGCTAATGTTAATACATGGTTGGGTTCTTTTTTTAAGTCAATATGGCCTGCAGGAATGTTTTTATTTGAGTTTGACACCAATGGAATAGAATATAGCACACATCCCATGTTTTTCCTAAGTGTTTACTACCATACAGAATTAATTTCTCCCTGACCACCAGTTGTAAACAAAAAGCCAAACTATGAAACAAGATTAAAAAAATAGATAACTTTTCCTTCTAAACTTCAACTATTATCTATCACTGTTTAATTTAATTCCTGTTCTCCAGAACAAGTCTAATCTGAATACACACTGAGCTATGCTTAGGACTCAAATCCTATTAAATTCAGAATCCCGCATTAAAGGCCCTTCACTACCTACTTAAGAGTAATCAGAGAGATGACACTCAATCACATTCCACACCTCCATCCCCCTTGATAGTCTTTTTTCCCCCAAGTGAAAATACTATCTCATTTATCCTCTGAACAACCCTAGGAGATTGGTGCTCTTATTATCCACATGTTGCAGTTGAGGAAATTGCGGTAGATAGGAAGTAAGTGACTTGACCAAGGCTTTGACCAAGGTCACACAGCTGGGAGTGTCTGAGACCAGATTTAAAGTCAAGTCTTCTTGTCTTCAGACCCATATTTTCAAAGTGCTTAGCACAGTTCCTTGTACATAGCAGGTACTTAATAAATGTTTATTTCCTTTCTTCCTTTTCCATCCCCCAACAGTTGCCAGGAGATATATTTTGATCTTGGTCTTATCCTCTGTTCCACCTAGCCTGTACAGCCACTGTTGTTCTGTATCTGTATCCTCAAAAGTCCCTAAAACCTTTCTGAAGCTTAGGGTGCCTATTACAGAGTACACAGGAGCCACTTTTAAAGGGCTGTGTAACAAACTACAATCCCTGAGCCCATCAGCACAAATAGAATTCATGCCAGCAGGTACTGGCAATAAGCCAGCAGGTACTGGCAATAAGCCAGCAGTGATCAAAATACAAATACCAGACTTTCCCAAATTGTCTAGTCCCTCATATGACAAATGAGTCACACATGCAGGCTGACAACACACATCACTCTTATGTCATTGGGCTTCAGCAGGCAAAGTATTAAAGAAAGTAAGAGCTATTGGGTATTTTAAAAATACAAAGAAAATAGCTTGGCAGCTATCAAATGTAATCAATCCAAACATCTTACCTTTGGCTGGCCCCTGAAATTCCCAATAAAAGGGTGATCATTGGCACAAAAGAGAAAAAAGAGAAAAAAAATTAGTCAAGAGAGTTTCCAAAGGTTAGAGAGATTATAAACATTTACAAAAATTAATTCATTAATGAACATTACAATGAGGAAAATATGACGAAAGTGTCAACATTAAGAAAAAATGTCAACTTCTTCAAAGAAAGTGACTGACTTAAAATAAAGAATTTATGAATCTCTAATAACCAGTGTGAATAATCACTGAAGACTGGAAAAGCCAAAAATCTAAGGTATAAATCAAAAAAGTTTAATTATGTAACTTTTTTCATTAGTGAATATCCATCTCTAGACATTTTAAGAAAACCAAGAAGAATGCTTACTTTCCATCTTCAACTACCTCCCCACCTTTTTCCCCCCAACTTTGCAATATCAAAAGAATAATCAGAGCAAAATGAGTGTTGTACTTAGGACAAAGGACTAAATGAAAGGACATAAAGTAGTTCATGGGAGTAGATCCAGAATCATCACTAACTGGTCTATCTCCAATCAGATTCTCTTTCTCTTTCCTACCTCCCTGTTGGCAGACAAAGTAAAGGATCTGCTGCCATCTGACCCAGGACAGGATGGATCCTCCCTCCCATCTATTAAAAGAGTTTAAGGAAAGGAAAAACTAAATAAATATAAATGCCTTTTCTATTACTTATAAATCACCTGCCCAATAAAATAATAAAGGCTGGAGGTTAGATTCAATTAAATCTGCCACTGATTACTCTTAATTTTGGATGTATTTGTCTCCATTTAGCAAATGGAGATGAAAATATTAAATGCAAAGTTGTCAAGGTAACAGTAAAGCAGGACTCACCCAGAAGAATAATCTCAATCTCACTCTTTTCTCCTGGCCCTGCTTCTGAGTTTTAGAATAGATAGGAGCAGGGGAAAAGAGTGGATTGTTAAATAAATATATTATACTGGGTCACTAAAAGAAAACAGAGATGGGAGAATAGGAGGCTCACAAAGTAAAGAGAAAAAGAACAAGCTGATCATATTGGTTTCCTCATTTTTATTTGGTTTTGGTAGTAGAAGACGGTCTAGGACTGGTCAGTGAAGAGGCCAGTCCTTATTGGCATGCACGATGCCTGATGCAAACCCCACACAGACTTTGGAGCATTACCATGTGAAGAGGAACCTTTCTGGTTGGCTGCTGAGCCAGAACCAAAATGCAGACAAAAGTCTCCTACTGGGGCAACTTTCACCTTAGTTCCCACCTGACTGATTCCTGTGAGGAAAACATGCTGGGCTGTAAACCTCTGGGAAGGGAGATTATCTCCCCACCCAGGCCAAAATGTGACCCATTATTTTTTACCTCTTTGGTGAAGGACTATGAGACTCGACGGTGACCTTGTGACTTTCAAAGAGTCACAGAGAGGGGCAGCTAGATAGCAGAGAGGATAGAAGACCAGCCTGGGAGCCAGGAGAACCTGAGTTCAAATTTGGCCTCAGACACCTGGCACTTACTAGCTGTGTCACTTAACCCCGATTGCCTTGCCCACCCCCACCCCTTCTAAAACAAGTAACAGAGACCAGTCCACCAGAGGTCTGGTAGCTGGACTCCATGCCATATTTTGGAGAAAACTAGGCTCTTTGATAAGGGAAGTCCAAAATGAGCTGCTTGACCCAGCAAAGCAGTTGATCAAAGGCAGCCAAAAGAGAGTGACAGTGACTCATTTATTTGCTAGGAAGCATTCAGAAGTCGTCTAAGTGGGGCAAATGCTTTACAGCAACTGATTTAAGTTTGAATCCATTCTCCCTAAGGACCAAGGTGATATAGGAAAGAGTGTGCCTCCAGGTGTTGGGGGAAAGTGCTTTGTGACTTTCTGACAGACTTCTCAGTAAATATTCCTTTGTAAAAGTTAACTGACATTGGTTAAGTGATACTGGCACATTAAATCACTGGAGAGTAGAAGATATAAGGGAGATACTAATGAATGATAATGGGAAGAAGACACCAGAATAGGAGTTCAAACTGACAGCATCAGAGGAAAAAAAAAATCCCTTCAAGGCTTTCTGTAGAACAGTGAAGGGGAGATGCAGCTGGCAATCTTGCTCTGGGGGCCCTGACTCAACAGCACAAACAAGAATTGGAATAGGGACCTTCAAAAGATATGAAGGGTTACAGATGTAATTCAAAGACAAGAAGTAGAAAAATTCTATTTTCCCTATTTCTTTGGGAAAGGAAGCCAAAAAGGAAAGCACGGAAGGGGAGAAATGGGTAAAAAAAACAAACCAAAAAAAACCCTGTATATCAAATGACCTTAGTTTACATGTAAAAATAAATCTCCAGAGAAATGGTCTAACACAGAAAACTTAGTTGATCCTTTTTTTTGGAGGGGGGGGCAGGGGAGGAAAAGATCCCACATAGGTACTAAATAATTAAGACTTTGCTAATGATGATTTATAAGACTGGACTTGCCCTCAGATATTATAATTTTGACATGTCTCCCTCATTGCCCCCATATCCAACTAGCTGTCAGTTTACCTGGCTACTACCTTCATTCAGTCACTTATCAGATAGGCAAGCTACAACAGATATAGCAGCAAACTGAATAAGAGAGAGGAGCTGCATGTGTCACTTGGGTCAAACTACTGCCCCCAACTTGACTACCACCTTGCCTTAGACCAGGGGTGAGGCCACAGGTTCCCTCCTAGACCTTAGACTGTGATGGAGACAGCACCAGGACCCTGACCCCAATAACCCTGGGAATAGCAGCACTTCTAATTAATAAAAAGGATGTAAGCCTGTAGAGAAGGGGCTGTCATTCTCACTACTACAACCACCAACTGACACAGGACCCTAAAAAATTCTCATTTATGTCTTCCCTGGACTATTAAAACATAAGCCTCAAGAGCAGGAAATGTCTTATTTTTCATTCCACGCCCCCCCCCCACTCCCGGCTTAGTACAACATTTCACACACAGTAAGTGCTTGATAAACAGGTTTTTTTTTTCATTCATTCACTAATTCATTCATTCCATGCTACACAATTCTAATTGACTCCTAATTGGTATCCTAGTCTCTGGTCTCTACTTCCAATCATTCTTCATCTAGCCTCTCAATAAAGAGGAATTTCTGTGGCCAAGGCAAGTACATAAACCAGGCTGATGCAACCCTACCCTACCTCCCACACACACACTCCTCATTTCCACCTCAGAAACTTGTACTAGTTCATCTTAAATTTCAAAATAAAAATCCATAAATTTCTTGAAAGGTCAGCTTAGGAGTTTACCTCCTTCCTGAAACTCTCAGGTCACCTCTTCTCCAATGCCCCCCAACAACTAGTGTTCTCTCCTTCTTCAAATTATCTTAATTATCTGCATATATTGCGTACACACACACACACACTATAAAATGTAATCTCCTTGAACGCAGGAATAGTTTCTTACAAAACTAGTGCCGTACAAAAAGAAGGCACTTCATAAGTGATTGCTGAGTTCAATGTTTTTGAATTTCCTTACAAGCAAAGTTGTGAAATGGAATGAATTACTAACAGAGTTATATAATCGCCCTTTCCACTGGTCTTTATAATTTAAATTATATTCTCATCAGTTTCATATGACGATGTCTGTGGACCTACCTAATGGTGAGGATGAGACAAAGTGGCCTATTATGGTTTCTTCCAGACTCATGATTCAATGATTCACACTGTTAGCAAGTGCATCTGCTACCAGTAACATTTCCCAAAACACTTCAAATTCACTAATTTCCTCCATTCTGATTTCCAGTGAAGGAAAAAACCATGTGTTTCTCAGCCTCCAGATATAAATTTACTATTCACAGTATTTATAAAATTGCATTTTCCTGGGAGGAAAAAGTTTTGCTAATTAGAATATTTTGAGGACAGCTGAAATAAAACCGTCCTCTACAGAGTGAAGATTATTCATTCTTCTCACAGGGATGTTACATAGTAAGCTCTGAAACCATAATCAAATGTCAAACTTAGATGAACACAGTGCTCTGAATTCATAGCATAGTAATGAGAATTAAAACAGACCAGTAAATTAATTACAGAGCTAACTTTCCAGCTTGGGATTCTTTGACTATACAAGTGAAGCTCAAGTAACTTCTATAGCCACAAGAAACCAAAAGATGTAATTACAGCTCTTTCAAACTCTGCCCTCAACCCAAGAGTACAATCCAATATGATAACACTTCCCTTATTTGGGGGTCGTATATCTAATAACCTCACTTACCTGGAAATGACTCAAGCAGCAGAGTATAATGTATGGAAAACAGCACTGGATTTGGTTTGCATCTTGAATCTGCTATTACTACCTACATGGCCGTGAGCAAATTATTTACCTTCTTTAGCCTTCAGTTTCCTCACCTGTAAAATGAAGGTGATCCCTAAGATCTCTTCCAGCTCGAAATCCTTAGCTCCTAAGCCAAAAGGGCCTCTAAACAGCCCAAACATGGAGAAAATCTATGCATTTTCACCTATTTAACCAGAACCTGCCCAGAATTCATGGCCCTCGACAATCTAGTTCCAACCCACTTCTGTCTATCTTTATCTCCTACTACTCCCTTCTCATACTTTAAATTCCTGACAATTTATATTACTTGCTATCCATCATTCATGCCTAGCTCTCTCCTCTTTCATGACTTTGCTCATGCTGTCCTCCATGCCTGGAAGAGACTTTTCCATCACCCATCTCCATCTGGTGAAATTGGTCCTTCCTTCAAGTTCCAACACGGGCTATGTCCATCACATCACCAAGGCTGGTCCAGGCCACAGTAATCTTAGTTGTGCTTTCACAGCACAGTTCACCTGTGCTCCAGTCACATTCGATTTAAATACTTACAAAACCATCTCACAGGACTTAAGAGATGGCAAGGACCCTAAAGATCATCTAGTACAAACCCTGAACTTTGCAAAAGGAGAAACTGAGACTCAGAGAAATGAAACGATTTGCCCAAAGGTCACACATCTAGTAAGTATCAGAGGTAAGACTTGAATC